TTGCCTGATAAACTGGATGAAACATTTCTAGTTTTGGATAGCTGAGTAAAATACATTAATTATGAATGCAAAATCATTTCAAACAAATCTGCTTTTAATTCTTCCCTTTAATTCTTCTTATTATTTAATTAATAATTGAATTCTTAAATTAAACTTGCATTTGATGTGGCATTTTTCATGTCAGGAGAATGTTTCAAAGTGCTTCACATGATTGACTGTAACGTGTAGTGACACTTTTTTCTAAATGCATCCTGTATTGTTATAACCTAAAATGTTTTGGATTTTCAGTGATTATAAAAAGCAGATTCCTGTTCGAAATAGCTGAACATCGCCATCTATTGGCAACATAGCAAATTGTACAGAAAAGCAAACACTTGAAAGTACTGTATGAAAATAAATTGTTTAATAATAATAATCCTTGCATTTGATATAGCAAATCTTCACATATTCTGAACGTCTCAAGAATATGTTGCAAAGTGAATTAACTGTATATTTTGTGGGCGAAACACGGCAACCGATTGCGTTAATAATTTAAATCTTAAATTAAACTTGCCTTTGGTATGGTGCGTTTCATGTCAGGAGAATGTTTCAAAGTGTTTGAATGTTTCAAATGAGGCAGTTCACTTACTAACAAAATGTGCCATAATCAGTCATGAAGTATTTCACCTGAATTCAGTAATTATGCCTAGAAAGACTTGCATTTGCAGTGTCTTATCACTTTAAAGCACTTAAAAATGTTTCCAGAAAATTACAGCGATATGCAGTAACTGTTTTTGTAGGCAACTGCTACAACATCTACCTGGAAACACTTGGTTTAGTGTCTCATCTAAAGCGTGGAATCACTAACAAGCCAGAACATCCCTAGTGCTACATTAAAGTGTCAGCCTGAACTGTGAGCTCAAGTCCAGACTTGGGGCTTGAACTCAAATTTCTGATGAGCAAACAGCCGTTACTGTCACACTCAGAGCCCAGCTCTCAGCCTTAGAATTTAAGGTGGGCCACAGTAATTAACAGTTAGAGGTGGGCTCTAGGAAGGGTAGTTGAGGGCAGGACAGCAGGATCTGTTTAAGATACAGTTATAATAATCCTTATAATCCTTGCATTATCACGTCTTCAAAGCGCTTCACAAAATATACTGTAAAGTGAATTGACTGGATATTTTGTAGGCAAAACGTTGCAGCTAATCCCACACAGCAGTGTCCCACAAACAGTTGTGGATTGACAAAGTTATGACAAAATTATTATTAGTATTTTTTAATTTTTTTTTGTGAAGGGATTATTATCGCCGGAAAAGCATTTCACCAATTGACTAACAACCGGGTTTCTACTTACTGCTGGGTAAAGAGGTGTGTAGGATAAGGAAATTTGCCCAACGCTTCACCTTGCCCGGGAATCGAACCCAGGTCCTCTCGTTTGTAAGGCGAGCCTCCAACCACTAATCTACAGGATTCCACAGTTTGATGCTGTAATGGGAGATGGTAAGATAGTGGAACAAATTAGATCAAATAGATTAAGGGCCTTCTTCATTCTAAACTGGTGCGATCTATTCTAATATAATTGTTCTGTGTAATTCTTATTGTAGCTTACAAAATGTTAACGCAATCCTACAGCTTTTTGGTGATATTCAGCACAAAATACAACATGTTTTCAAGAAAAAACACAATGTAGCCAATGATATTTCATATAATTGACTTTTAAACAATAGTGAAGTTAAAGCATAAACACAATTTAATTAAACTGGCATTGGAGTTATTTTCCCAAACCATTGATTGTTTCCTGTTGTCACAGCTGTTCCCCTCCACATGGGTTTTATTTTCTTGATTAAAACAAATCCTCCAATATAAAATGAGATTAGAGTCTTGAGAGTTTAATGTCTAAAATAGCAACTAAGCTGCCTTCAGGTCAACATGACAATCTTAAAGGATTTGGCCAATATTGTTCCTTCTCATTTAATCTTTCTGCTCAGTAACACATGTAATTAGATACTGAGTCACTTAGTGTATGATCAGATTTCCAGAGATTCAGTTGATGAAATATCCAGGTAAATTAAAAAGTAAATGTAACACTTTGCATTAAAATACAAGTAACCCTTTAGGAATTTGAGTAATTGCAGGGAAACTTCCAAAGCTACTGATGAAATAATCAGCTGTTTTACTTTATTATTTTGTTTATTTGCTCGTCTAGACAAGAGATGGTTTGAGTACTTTACTATTTCAGATACCCAGTATCCACTTGGGCCAAGTAGCCTGTTTCCATGCTGTACAGTCTAAGTAGTTCCAGCATCAATCTTTCCCAGGTTAATGATCCATTTGCAAAGTAAAGCTTCCAACACACTGCCCCATCAACACATTTTGTCCATAAAATTAAAGCACACCAATACTCCACCAGTGTACACTGTCCAACTCCCAGACCAGTCACCCTATGAGGCTCCTGTGAGTTGAATTGGCAATCTAGTGTTGGTTCAGGCTTAACTAATGCTATGTGGGCCGGCAGCTGAGAGGAATTGTGTTATTGAGGCTGATGTTAAACATGAATGTGTTTCACACTTAATTCAGAACCTGGCTTCCTGCAGCCGTTAGAAAGAAACCAGGATCTAAATGAATATGGAATTTGAGAATTTCTCACAATTCATCATTGTTTTACAGTATAAGATAAAGTCTAACTGACATTTCAACCTACTGTTCACTATTCAGTGTCTACACACTGGAAGATGTGTGCATGCAGATGATAGGTGAAGACAGGAGTGGGGATGGCTGTGATGATGCACTGTGGTCAAATATCCCGCCGAGTTACATAGATTCTAATCCCATAAATCTTGCTCTTTCTGTGTACCTTGTTTATGTAGTGTAAATCTTTATTCCAATTCCCTTTTAAATGTTCTTTTTTTCAGGCTCAATAGCTATTTGAAGGAAAGCTTTCCATGTTCTAATGACCCTCTAACCTCCTGCTTCATTCTTTTAGAGACAATCCTGAACTTTTACACCTCCCTTATTACTGATTCATCAATCTGGAAGAAAAATGTTTGATAGAATTGCATAATTTTATAGCACAGAAGGAGGCTCTTTGACCCATTATCCCTGTACATTTCTCTGAAAATGGTATCCATTTAGTCCTACTCCCCATCCTTTATTATTCATCCTCGAACCTATTCCCATAACCACATTTTATAAGATTAATCCAAACGAAAACCCCTCACATCTCATAATGCATGTGAATATATACTTCACCCATTCCATTATTCTGATATCCTCTCTGTGATAGGGCAGGTCACTGAGAATTGGCCTAACCAACACACATTAAGGTAATATTGTTTCCTTGCATCATATTTGGCAATTTCAACTGGAGTCACTAACATTGCCTCAGTCGCTAACAGAAAATCTTGCCAGTAACGAGCAGTGCATCTCTGACAACTTATAGGATTCCTAGGATCTACTGCAGGAGTTTTTGTGCAGGGATGCCATGAGCTGTCCATAGTGTACTGCCAGTTATAGGCAGAATTCCCCTTTACTAAATCTGAGCCCTGGTTCCCATTGGAACAACTGATTTTTTTTAACCGCCAGCATTTCAGTATTGTTTTAAGTCCCTTCCAAAGACAAGTTCGCTGGCTCCACTGAATTATTTCAGCTGATCCCTTGTGGATGAGAGATACATGCGAGGTCCTGCCTGCTTGTTCTTCAGGCAGATGTTGAGAAACCAATTACCACTATTTGAAAAGTGAAGGACATTTCTCCTTTCCAATGTCCTGGCCAACATTCCACCAGATGAACTGGTCATTCACATAATGGCCTTCTGGCTGCAGTGTTTGCCTGCAAAACTGTTACCATACTTGACAGTAATTGCTCTAACACACTTTGTGTTGTTTCAACCTGATAAAGGTGCTACAAGATGCAAGTTCAAAATATACATACAGTCAATTCACTTTACAGTATATTCTGTGAAGCACTTTGAGATGTCTCAAAGATGTGATAAGTTGCTATATTAAATGCAAGGATTATTATTATTTTAACCTAAGCACTGTTAATTCCGGATGTTCATTACATGATATCAACATATGTTTTACGTAAAAAAGGTAAATTAAAAAAGCTTTTATTCCATAGCTACTTTATTGTATTCAATTTATTGGTTTGGATCATATTGATCAGACACTTTAACATATTGAATAATTCCTGAAAAATTCCCTATCTTTGTGTTGAGTGTAATGGTGTAGTGGAGCCTGTGTGATGATCGCCATCTTGTGAGAGCTGTGAGAATCACAGTGTGCCAACACCACACGGACACAAAGGTTATGAATCAACATTCAATAAAATAGTTTAGGAACCTCCCTGGTTTTATAAAATCATCACAACATATGCCTTTGCTTTGCTGCACTTGGTCTCCATATCTTTTCGCTGTGGACATGGCAATTATGATGGGAAAAAGATTGCTACTCTACTAGCAAATCCATAATACAAAACCAAAATAATGTATGATAATCAGATCTCCATACTAACTCATGCCAAATCATAGTTGTCAGATGGCAAGAATATTGCCCCATCATCTCTTATTAAAAGGAAATGAAGAAATATTTGGAAAATATATTAACATGAGAAATGGTCAAAAGAGTGAGAGATCTCTTTTAGAGCACCATCATAAGCACAATGGCTTCCTCCTGTGCTGTATCAGCAGAATAAGAAATGTTCTTTAATAAACTAAGATAAGCAAAGCCACCAAACACTGTGGTAAATCGCACCTCCCGGTAATTAACTCTGGGAACCATTGAGGTTCTTGGTTTTCATAGCAGGTGAAATTTCCACAGATCTCTGCGTTGTAAAGAAATTTCTGTGACCACAGCTGTGGACCCAAACACATCCATTTATTTGAAATATAGCAGAGTATCAGTTGAACTAGTTTACAAAGATGCAATGTAAAACAATCAAATTTAACAATGCTTCCATATGATTGACTTACAGTTGTCTTCGTTTCAGTAAAATGAGGATTGGAATGTCCTCAAGTTTAAAGGTTCAGAGCTTGTTGCCCAAGGATTCCCTACCCATAAGGTGCTTCTTTGTGTTTGTTTCTGGTTTCAGCAACAGAATGTAACATTTAGGGGCAAATATACAGATGAGCATCCCCAAACTGGATGACAGGATAGGAAAGATTTCTACAGCTACTGTGTATTTTCCTGGAGAGCTGACATAAGCTGGTATGAATGCTATCCAAACCACAAAGAAGATCAGCATGCTGAAGGTTATATATTTTGCTTCGTTGAAGTTGTCAGGAAGCTTTCTTGCCAAGAATGCCAAAATAAAACACATGGCAGAAAGGAACCCAATGTAGCCAAACACACAGCAGAAGTCAACCACAGAGCCAACGTCACATTCCAAAATATTCTTGGCATTTGACACCTGTGTGTTTTTTGAAGGGAATGGAGGGGATGACACCAACCATATAATGCAAATCAAGACTTGTACAGATACTGAGATGAAGATGCCAGCTCTTTGCTGTAGGGGACCAAACCATTTCAATGTGTTGTTGTTAGGCAGTGTGGCCTTAAACACAATCAGAACCACTACTGTTTTTGCAAGAACGCAGGATATGCAGAGAGTAAAGCTGATGGCAAATGCCGTGTGTCTTATCATGCATGACCAGTGTGTCGGCTTTCCAATGAAGGAGACAGAGCATAGGAAGCATAAAGTCAAGGAAAAGAGAAGATAAAAGCTCAGTTCAGAATTATTAGCCCGAACAATGACAGTTTTCCTGTAACAGAAGAAAATGGCGGCGACAGCCTTGGTGATGCATGCTCCACATAATGCAATCACTGTTAACATAATGCCCATTGTTTCTTCATAAGAAAGGTACTCGATTTCCTTTGGAATGCACTGGACTCTTTCATGATTGGACCAGAAATCCAATGGACACTTTGTGCATTTAATGGAATCTGAAAGAGAAAAAAAGCATGTATTCCACTAAAATGATCAATAATAATATTTGTTGTGTGCTACATAATAATAATAATAATCCTTGCATTTGATATAGTGCCTTATCAAGTCTTAAAGATATCTCAAAGCGCTTCAAAGAATATATTGTAAATTGAATTAACCTTGTATTTTGTGGGTGAAACGCAGCAGCTAATTGTCCACAGCAGCGTCCCACAAACAATTGTGAATTGAGTGACCAATTTTCTTTTGTGGGAAGGGTGTTTGGGAGGAATTCTTACACTTGGGAAACTGATCCGCCAATTGACTAACAACTGGGTACCTACTTACTGCTAGGTGAACAGAGGTGTATGGAGTAAGAAACCTTTCCCAAGGTTTTGCCCCGCCCAGGAATCGAACCAGGTCTTGTCGCTTGTGAGGCAAGCGCACTAACCACTATGCCAAAGGACTTCACATAACAATGTATTATGCGCACAAACCAGTCTGGTTACTGATTTCCCCATCATCACATGGGAGACAGTCAAAGCAGCAAATAGGTTCGCCTTCTCGAACCCCTTTTCTGGTGCCTGGTGGGCAGCTTATCGTACACATTGATTGCGGCACCTGGAAAATAGACAGTGAAAATTTAGTCCTAAGTTGAAGGATATTAATATAATTATGAGAAAAAAAAGTCATTCACCATTAGATTGTTGTGAAGAACAATTTTAGAATAGATACCAGGAAGTATTTATTTATACAATTGAGAATCAACAGCTGAAGCTGGTTATCAGGAATAGTGATTAAAGACAAAACATTGGGAGGCATCACACATATTGTAGGGAAAGTCTGTTGTCATTACAAGGTTACAAGAGGTTCAGATGAAGAAGGCCTTCAGACCTGCTCCATCTCAACAATCCAGGATATCCACACTACCGTTTCCCTTCGTTGCACAGTTTGACAGAATAATACCATAATATTGAATGATCAGCTGACCTTATTCTGACCTCTGTTCCAAATAATATCCTCTTCCTTCAGCACAAGTTTATGTCCTGAACCTTCAGAAGCATCATAATGCCCCACGGTCACAAACTGAACTGACCCGTCAGCACCTTGTTTCCAGTTTATAATGTCGTAGGAGGCAATGGGGTCTCCATTTTCATCAAAATCCACAACTTCTCCCAGACTGTCAGTAAATGACACTTCCTGCAGATAGTACTGGAGCTTTGAACACGGTGTGAAATGCATTAATTTACTGTCATCAGTTTTATGTATAAAAACAACAACAACTTGCATTTTTATAGCATCCTTCACACAGGGTAGCATCCCGGATCGCTGGACAGTGGTGGAGTCTGACCCCGAGCCAGGAGGAGAGGGAGGAAGGAGATGGCCGTAAGCACATTCAAAAAGGAAGTTTTTTGTAAGTTTAAACTAATAAAAAATCCGATGAACTTGCAAAAGTTTTTATATTTGATAAACTGAGGATCCTGCCCCTCCCTCACGAGCAAAGGATAATTTTTTTTCAAATCATTCACTTACCTGCCATGGTTTGAGGTGTGAAATGTTTCCACATGTTTTATTTTCAAATGGTCCAGCCCCATTTTCACAGAGAATTAAGCTATGTAGAGAATGAGCTATAGCATAGACTGCCTTATATACATTGTATGAAATTCTAAGCTGGGTGACGTCTGAGTACATGTTATAATCTGCATCTATGTTCTCCAGTCCTGAACATTGGGGCTGTGTTGCATTGGCTTGTTGTGGAGTGTTGTCTATCATGTCGAATGAACAACTGAACAATGTTTCCCAAAACTCTTTTACCAATGCATTGCCAGGAAATAAAGAAGGGTGAAGCGTAAGTAAAAATTCTTTCAGCTCTGGAATATCTGCTCTACGAATAGCAAATCCTATGGTCCCACCTAATGTGTCATAGAACAGACTTGGGGAAAATAGAGGAGTTGTTATCCAGGCTTCACTTGCTATCCATTGTACACCTGTTATATTTTGTTTGACAATTTCCTGCATTAAGGGAAATATCTCTCCATCGCCAGAAAAGGCAACAATAACCTTCGCAGATGACATCCTGATTCGTTCTACAATATGAAGAATCCTGTCATGGGAATAAACTTTAGGAATCATTTCATAAAAGGCCATGCACACGCCCAGTTTCTCAAGTTCTTCAGTGAGTGCTTGAATTCCAAATCTTCCATAGTCATCATCCTCAGAAATCGCGGCAACCCAAGTCCAACCAAAGTGCTTCACCAGTTGGACTATGGCCTTGACTTGATAATCATCATTGGGAATAGTTCGGAAAAATGTAGGGAACTCGCGCCTGTTACTGAGACATGAACAGGTCGAAAAGTAACTAACCTGAAAGTTGTGTAAAAAAAAATGTTTAATTTCTCCACTCTTCCTAATCCTGTCTTCCATCCCCCTCTAAATCCTTTCTCTCATATATGAGCTTCCCATTTACAAATAGCATTACAGAACCATACAATTGACAGCCATTCTGCACATCAGGCCTATACTGGTGCTAGCTGGAGGCTTACACTAATGCCAGTTCCTTGCTGGTTCCCAGTAGCAATGATTTGTTCTTTATGTATTAGCTTTTTACTATCACATACGTTTCATGTTCTCTTCTCTTGACTTTATTTTTAAGGTATTTGTAAAGACAAAAATTCACTAATAACGTACCATAGGGATTCTGAAGGGTCCTATTGTTCTTGCTACCACTAGGGATTGTGATGATCCGGAATCTCCAATAATTGCTGGCATAGATACATCTTTAGGGCATTTTTCATCTGATTCGATCACTTCTGGTCCACTTAGGATGGTAAGAGTTGATCTCAGAGCCTGGACATGTGTTGCACAGGAGTCGTAAATCTTGTAACCTAATGTTATATTCGGAAGCAAGCTCAAGTCTTTGTTTATTTCTTCAATGGCAAAAATCATAGTTTGTGCCCAGCGAAACCCTCTAAAGTCAAAACTGTCAAACACATCATTAGTTAATTGATATTGAAGCATTTAGAATATATATACATTTACATCTAGAACTGCATTCTATAAACCCCAATTATTTAAATCTATCTTTCAAATTCCAGAAAAAAGTTACGATTCTACATACTATATAATATATTTAGTTTATAATATATATTGTGCACTTTTACCTTAGTGTCGGTTTTCATCTTACTTTCCATATATGGTTTTAATCCTAATTAATAAATGTGACTCATGTGACCAATACCAATAAAATAGCGATTTTCACACATGTGTCAGATTACACATGTCAGTGGTTAGAGCACTCGCCTCGCAAACGAGAGACCTGGGTTCAAAACCGGCAGAGTGAAACCCTGGGCAAGTTTCCTTTCTCCACACACCTGATAATTCCTCACGAATAAAAACAATAATAAATTGGTTACTTCAATCCATGACTGTTTGTGGGACACTGCTGTGTACAATTGGCTGCTGCGTTTCGCCCTCAAATACACAGTCAATTCACTTTACAGTACATTCTGTGAAGCGCTTGGGGACGTCTCAAGAAGATCTGATAAGCTGCTATATGAGGCTTTTTGAGAAGGCAGAAGCACATATGGTTAGTGGTTAGCTCACTTGAGAATTGGTGTTTTAACAGGAAACAGAAAAGTGTAACAAATGTACAAAGCTCTATAAACACTGGGGGCCATTGGCGGAATTGTTTACCCAGCACTGTGATCACTCTCTGCTTTCAATGTCTACATAATGAGTGTATATTAATCCCGCTAGCAAAGCAGTTAATGGCACTATTTAATCAATACTGAGCCACACATTGCGGACAGTTCCAGGTTTGACAGCTTTGGTTTTAACATTTACTGAGGATTGTTTTAATCATTTGTTAGATCATAGAAGTTGTAGTCTAATAATAATGAACATTAAACAAATGTAGAATGGAGAAAGTACTGACAGTCATGGGATAGGACACATCTAGTTTTCTCTGTTTCTGAAAGAATAACAAGACAGCTTTGGAAAAGGGCAGGGGGTCACCTCTTATCAGTAAGTCTCTAGATTCTGACCAGGCCTGCCAAGTGACAGAAGGCAACCCTCAAGAATAACATTAATGAGCAAGTTGTTCAATATGGAGGAGTTTGGTACCATCCCAGTAGTATTGATAAGGAGTAACTAGATAAAAACTAGATAAAAAATCATTTTATTAAGACAGGACAAAGAAAAGATCTCGAGAAGACCCAGTCAGGATGGCACCAAGCCAAATGATTGATTAACCTGAGTACGTGACTGTATCAGAAGTGGGTAGAGGGGCCATGGGAAGGACACTTGGAGAAAGGGTATAACTATGGCACTCTAGGTGAGAACGGTTAGAAGAACAAGAAGGCTCCAGAGAGAGAGAGACCAGTGTGGAGAGGTCCCTTTAAGATCACAAGGAAGGTGTTCCGTGACGTTGTGTGACTGTCTTCAAAGACTGGTAATATAATTTGTTAGACATTTGTAGTAACTGGTTGATGCAGGTTGTGTTCACTCTGTTCATAATAAACCCGGCTGGATATTTGGATTATCCAGTCAGATTTCGAACTACGGGATTGGAAATCCCAACACATTAAAAAACAGTGGGGACCGAAACAACTATCTTGCAACCACAGAAATGAACATAGGTTTGGCAAGTTATAATTTCTCAGTTGATAAAGCTAAGAAATAGAAAACCTTTACACAATACACTTACCTTTGACATGTAGGTACTGTAAGTTTGTGTTGGTAAGCGAGATCAGTTACACCTGCTCTATAGTGCATAGGGAACAAGCCGCCAATGTCAACATCTCCGTCCTGGAGTAGCCCAGGCAGGTTAAAGTCACCTCGTAGAATGCAGGTAGCCTTGCCCTCGCCTAGCACTGACGTGATCAATAGCAAACATCTCCAAAACAAAGCAGAATTCATGCCAATAGCACAGTTTATGGCATGGAATGTCATCCGTTAGCAATAATCACTGCTTAAATATGGACACTGAGAATCACTCAGAGGGGACTAACCTGCCAATATAATTAAACCCATAGGAATTGTTAATGAGTGGGATCCCTAAAGAAATAGTTTTTATTAATTTATCTTGAGCTCAAACCTGCAGACATTGAAAGTAAACCACGGAATTCTAATAGTTGGATCCTACATTTAAATAATAATAATAATCCTTGCGTTTGATACAGCGCTTTATCACGTCTTCACGACATCTTAAAGCGCTTCACAGAATATATTGTAAAGTGAATTGACTGGATGCTTTATGGGCGAAACACGGCAGCCAGTTGAGCACAGCAGTGTCCCGCAAACAGTCGTGGATTGAATAACCAAATAATTATTATTTATTATTTTTATTATTTTTTGGAGGGATTATTACCCTGAGAAAAGCGATCCGCCAATCGATTACAATGGGGTTCCTATTTATTGCCATCGGAGGTCGCGCTTTGAGCCACTACGCCCCAAAACTCGAACACGCCCGCAATCCCTCCGCCTGGCCCCATTTCTCCCTTTTTCAAGTCCTGCCTGAAAACCTTCCTCTTCGACCGCGATTACAGCCAACACCCCTCCCCCAGGCTCCTTGTTAAGCCTCTGAAACGCTGCCCTGTGTGGGGGGGAGGGGGTAGTGGTGCGATATATAAGTGCAAGTTGTTGTTGTTGTCAAACATATAGCAGTTAATTTCGCTGAAATAAGACAAAGTGAACAGAATGCAACATGGCTGTTATTGATGGCGATTGCATAGCTTCAAAGTAACCATAATCCTAACCCTAAAAGAACCAGAGGGGAGATGCGAAGAATTTTTTTACCCACAGAGTCGTTACGTGCTGGAATGCACTGGCTGAAAGGGATGTGGAAGCAGATTCAATAGTAGCTTTTATAAGGGAACTGAATAGGTCCTTGAAAGGAAAAATTTGCAACGGGTTAAGAACGGGGTAATGGGACGAGTTGGATAGCTCTTCAAAGAGCCGGCATAGGCATGGTGAGCCGAATGGCTTCCTTCTCTGCTACAAGATCCTATGATTCTAAGCAGAAGGATGATCAACATTGCAGTGCAACAGATGGATCCCTCCCTCCACAGGATCAATAATCCAAATGCATCTCCTGCATTAGTTAACAACATTTTAATTTTCCACATTTTTTACTTTTCTAGCTGGGGCGTTTGATTTCAAAAGATAAGAAGTGATTGTTTTGAAAAAAAGCTAGTTTGCTAAGTTCATTTAGTTTCACCTACAAACTCCTGTGGAGTCCTGTAGCTCATAGAATCATAATAGAATCGTACAGCACAAAAAGAGGCCATTCGGCCCATCGAGTCTGTGCGGCTCTTTGAGAAGAACAATGTAATGTCAGTCCCACTTCCCAGCCCTTTCCCCATAACCTGCAAACCCGTCCTCCTCAAATACCCGTCCACCGTGTTTTTAAAAGTAGTTATCGAATCGACCTCGACCGCCCTTCCAGACAATGCGTTCCAGATTCCAACAACTCGCTGCGTGAAAAAATGTCTTCTCCCCTCCCCTCGGCTTCTTTTAGAGACTTTTTTGAATCTGTGACCTCGAGTCACCGACACATCCACCAGTGGGAACAGTTTTTCCTTTTCTAACCTATCAAATGATTTTGATTTTGAAGACCTCTATCAGGTCCTCGTAACCATCTCTGCTCCAATGAGAATAATCCCGGCCTCTCTACCCTTTCCTCATCATCACGGTCCCTCATTCCTGGTCCCATCCTCGTAAATCTCCTCTGTACCCTTTCCAATGCCTTAACATCCTTCCTATAGTGTGGTGCCCAGAACTGGGCGCAGTATTCTAACTGAAGCCTAACCAGTGTTTTATATAAGTTAATCATAACCTCCTGACTCTTGTACTCTATGCCCCTATTTATAAAGCCCAGTATCCCAGATGCCCTTTTTACAGCTGTATCTACCTGTCCCTCCACCTTCAAGGATTCATTTACCTGCACCCCCAGGTCTCTCTGCTCTTTTACCCCCTTAAGGTTGTATTACCGCCTATATTGCCCCTCATTCTTTCTACCAAAATGCATTACCTCACATTTCTCTACATTGAAATTCATCTGCTCAGTGGTTAGAGCACTCAGCTCACAAGCGAGAAACCTGTGTTTGATTCCCGGCAGGGTGACATGTTGGGCAAGTTTCCTCACTCCACACTTAAAAAGACCTGATAAGCTGCTATATCAAATGCAAGGATTACTATTTTATTATTATTATTTTTAACTGCGCAACAATAACAAATTATATTAATATAGCGCCTTGCACATCGGGATGATGTGCAAAAGGGGAAGTTCAGTATATACTTTTTTTCACCCATCACCTCTATTCTCTTCTCAAATGTAAATGGAAATTAATAGAAGATGTTTTCAAAGTTTACTAGCATTGTGAATTATATTTTAGACAGATTATTTAAATTCAATCTCTCCCTTCTCAAAGAATGCTACCCTCTCTCTCACACGGTCTAACTTCAACTTTCTTTCCAGAACAACAGCAACATTTATATAGTGCCATTCAACATCTTGAGCCCTGAAATCAGAAGTGCACAAAAAAAAATTATCACAAGCATCATAATTCAAAATAAATTATCAAATAATTTTACAAAATCACCAGTCAGTACCAACAAGAGTGAACACATTCTGTAGAGCAGTAATTCTGGAATTGCCAGCCTGAAATAGGCAGTGATTATTCTCATTCAATGGGCTCAAGCCAAACAGGTAAGATTCAACAATAATAATCCTTGCATTTGATATAATCCTTATAATCCTTGCATTTGATATAGCGCTTTTCACGTCGGGAGGACGTCCCAAAGCGCTTCACAGAACACACTGTAAAGTGAATTGACTGTATATTTGTGGGCGAACGCGGCAGCCAATTCCGCACAGTAATGTCCCACAAACAGTCTTAGATTGAAAATGACCAATTTATTATTGTTTTTGGTTTTGGAGGGATTATTATTAGGCTCTGTGTGGAGTAAGGAAACTTGCCCAAGGTTTCGCCCTCTGCCTGGAATTGAACTCGGGTCTCTCGCTTGCAAAGCAAGTGCTCTAACCACTGAGCTACAGGACTCCACGCCTTATAGCGCCTTATCAGGTCTTCAAGACATCTCAAAGCTCTTTGCAGAATATATTGCAAAGTGGATTAACTATATATTTTGTGGGTGAAAGGTGGCAGCCAATTGTACACAGCTATGTCCCAAAAACAGCCATGGATTAAGTCACCAAATTATTATTATTTTGAAGGGATATTATCCCCATAAAGTGCTCTGTCAGTCGACTAGCAACCAGGTTCCAATTTACTGCTAGTAAACAGAGGCCTGAGTAAGGAAACTTGCCTAAGGTTTCGCCTTGCCCTGGAATCAAACCCGGGCCCTCTTGCTTCCGAGGCAAGTGCTCTAACCACTGAGCTACAGAACTTCACACTCAATGCTGAAGAAGTTATGTTATTTCATTGTCCGAATAAATATCAAACAAAATTAACGATTGTGTATTTAAGACTTCATATTTACTTTGGGTTGATTAGCATTTGCAATCTGTCAAACATGTAAAATGTGTAAATGTAGTACAGGAACTGCCTTAAGCAGTTTCGCCCTGAATGCTCCGATACAATTCATTTTGAAACTGCTCAATGCATTATCCTAGTTAATTAAACATACCTGTTTTAATTGTATTTAATACACTTAACCACATATTTACTGATTAATGTATCATACAATCATAGAATTATACAGCACAGAAGGAGTCATTCAGCTCATCATGTCTGTGCCAGCTCTTTGAAAAGAGCTTCCAATTCAACCCCCACCCCCCGCTCTCTCTCCATAGCCCTGCAAACTTGTCCTCCCCAAATAATTATCTACTTCTCTCTTAAAAGTTGTTATTGAATCGGCTTCCACCAGCCTTTCAGGCAATGCATTCCAGATCCCAACAACTCACTCTGTGAAAACATTTCTCCTCACCTTTTAACAACTATTTTAAATCAGTGACCTCGGGTTACCGACCCACCCGCCAGTGGGAATAGTTTCTCGTTGTTCACCCTATTGAATACCCTCATCATTTTGAAAACTTCTATTTAGTCTCCTCTTAATCTTCTCTGCTCCAAGAAGAATAATCCCAGCTTCTCTAGCCTTCTCTAGCCTCTCCTGATAACTGAAGTGTCTCATTCAAGCAGAGAGCCCAGAATGAGCTACATTCAGAGTGAGGCAAGGCCAGAGTGAGAAGGAATTGGGTGAGAGTGGGAATTATATGTTCTAAACAACTATAATACAGGGATAAATAGAATGAGAGGAGAGAATGACCTGGCAGGTGATGTGTGAGGAATGTGGCATGTGGGAGTTGATGGAGGGCCCTGAGCCCGGGTGACTTCATCTGCACCAAATGTCTGCAACTGAGGAAGCTCCAGCTCAGAATAGCTGAGCTGGAGTCTCAGGTGGAGACACTGCGCAGCATTAGAGATGGGGAGAGCTTCCTGGACAGTTTCATCCTGGAGCCAGACACTCCCATGAGTCCCAGGGATCATTCTGTTGCCAGCCACGGATAGGACTGGGTGACGGTCAGACAGGCGGTTAAGGGGACCCGAAAGAGAGGGGCAGAGGAACCCCAGACTTTAACCTTGTCAACAAGTATGAAATACTTACAACCTGTGTGGACAAAGAAGTCTGTGAGGAAGATGGGCAAACTTACCCCATCACCTCTATACAGGAGGCCACACAAAGGGGAATAGTCAGAAAGAATATAGTGGTGATTGGGGATGAGACAGTCAGAAAGACTTACACACATTCCTGCAGCCGTAGCAGGGAGACAAGAAGACTCTGTAGCCTTCCTGGGGCCAGGGTGAAGGACGTCACTTCTGGGCTGGAGAAAAATTTGAAACAGGAGGGAATGGATCCAATAGTTATGATTCACATAGGGACCAATGATGTAGGTGGGACCGGAAGGGACGAGTTGAGGAGCAAGTTCCGGGAATTGGGAGTTAAACTGAAGAGTAGAACTTCGAAGGTATTAATATCGGGATTATTACCTGAGCCAGGGGCAAATTGGTACAGGCAAAAAAAAATTTAAGAACTGAATATCTGGCTAAAAGAGTGATGCGGAGGGCAAGGGTTTCACTTTATGGGCCACTGGTACCAGTATTGGGGGAGACAGGAGCTATTCCAAAAGAATGGACTCCACCTAAACAGGGCTGGGACAAATGTCCTGGCAACACGAATAAATAGGGAGGTAGACAGGGCTTTAAACTACTAAGTTGGGGGGTAAATTCAATCACATGTAATCCGTTACAATTAAAATTAGGACCGATGAAAGTGGGAGAGCCGATTAACGAGGGAGATGAGCAAAGTGTGTCATGTGGGGAAAAGAAGCCCAGGGATAGGGTACTGGTAAATAGGACTAATAGCCCAAAGTCAAAATTAAAATCTGAATGTGCGAAGCATTCGAAACAAGAGAGATGAACTAACTGCACAAATAGAAACAATAGTATGGTCCAGTAGCCATGACCGAGACATGGTTACAGGGAGATCAAGGGTGGGAGCTAAATATTCCAGGGTATGTGGTGTATAGGAAAAGATAGGCAATGTGGTAAACGAGGAGGGGGGGTGGCCCTGCTAATAAAGGATGGGATAAAAACAGTAGAGAGGAAAGATTTTAAATCAGAAAAGCAGGAAGTAGAGTCAGTATGGGTAGAAGTACGTAACAACAAGGGGCAGAAAACTCTAGTGGGAGTAATTGATAGACCCCCGAACAGCAGTCACAGTATCTCTTAAGGTATAAAGCAGGAAATTAGCGGAGCATGAAGCAAAGGAAAAACATTAATTGTGGGTGATTTTAATCTGCATATTGATTGGGACAACTAAATTGGGAAAAGTAAGATAGAGGAAGAGTTTATAGAATGTATTAGGGATAATTATCTGGATCAGTATGCTGAGGGGCCAACCAGGGAACGGGCCATATTAGACCTTGTTTTGTGCAATGAAGCAGGGCTGATCAGCAAACTGGAAATTAAGGCTCCTCCAGGGCCACGTGATCATAATATGATGGAATTTAGCATTAAGTTAGAGAGGGAAGCAGTTAAGTCCGAAGCAAAGGTCTTAAATTTAAGTAGAGCCAACATTGCTGGTATGAGAGAGGATTTAGCCAAAATAAACTGGGAAATTAGACTTAAGGATTTGACAGTAGACCAGCAATGGCAGACATTTAAGGAGATAGTTAAAATTCCCAGCGAGCAGGTATTCCTTTGAGGAATAAGAATACCACGGGAAAGGTGACCCAACCGCGGCTAACTAGAGCAGTTAGGGACAGTATAAAGTTAAAGGAAGAAGCCTATAAAACAGCTAAGATGAGTAGTAAACCCGAGGATTGGGAGAACTTTAGGGATCAACAAAGGAGAACCAAAAAAGTGATTAAGAGGGAGAAAATGGAATATGAGGGCAAACTAGCGAGGAACATAAAGAGAGACTGCAAGAGTTTTTATAAATATATAAAGAGGAAGAGGCTGTTAAAGGTAAATGTGGGTCTGTTAGAGGCAGAGACGGGGGGAATTTAAGTAGGGGACAAAGACATGGCAGAGTCATTAAACAAGTACTTTGCTACTGTCTTCACCTTAGAAGACACTGAAAACCTACCAAGAATAGAGGGGAACCAAGAACAAAATATTAGCGAACAACTTGGGGGAATTAATATTAGTGAAGAAATGGTTTTAGGTAAATTATCAGGTCTTAAAACCAATAAATCTCCTGGACCTGATGGCCTACATCCTAGGGTTTTAAAAGAGGTGGCTACTGAGATAGTGGATGGCTTGTCTTTGAACTTCCAAAATTCTCTGGATTCTGGAACAGTTCCCATTAATTAGAAGATTGCAAACGTAACACCACTATTTAAGAAGGGTGGGAGAGAAAAGATGGGGAACTATAGACCAGTTAGTCTGACATCAGTGGGAGGGAAAATTCTTGTGTCCTTAATTAAAGATGTCATTATGGGATTCCTGGAAGACCATAACAAGATTAGGCAGAGTCAACATGGCTTTACAAAAGGGAAGTCATGCTTAACTAATCTTTTAGAGTTTTTTGAAGATGTATCTAACAGGTTAGATAGGGGGGAACCAGTAGATGTAGTATATATAGATTTTGAAAAGGCATTTGACAAAGTGCCACACAAAAGGCTATTGCACAAGGTTAAGGCCCAGGGGATTAATGGGAACGTATTAGCATGGATTGAAGAGTGGCTAAGGTAGAAAACAGAGAGTAGGGATAAATGGGTCATTCTCGAATTGGCAGGATGTGACTAGTGGAGTGCCACAAGGATCGGTGCTTGGGCCTCAGCTATTTACAATTTACATCAATGATCTAGATGAGGACATTGAATGTAACGTATCTAAATTCTCGGATAACACTAAACTCAGTGGGGGAGTAAGCTCTGAGGATGATGCAAAAAGATTGCAAAGGGATATAGATAGACGAGGGGAGTGGGCGAGGAGGTGGCAGATGGAATTTAACGTGGGGAAGTGTGAAGTTATTCACCTAGATAGAAAAAATAGAAAAACAGATTATTTTCTAGAGAGGGAGAGATTAGATAGTGTTAGTGTTCAGAGAGATTTGAGTGTCCTTGTACACCAGTCTCAAAAAATTAGTTTGCAGGTGCAGCAGCAACTAAGAAGGCAAATGGCACGTTAGCGTTCATCGCAAAAGGTTTAGAGTACAAGAGTAGGGAAGTCTTGCTGCAGCTGTGTAGGGCTTTGGTGAGACCGCACCTGGAGGATTGTGTGCAGTTTTGGTCTCCTTATTTAAAAAAGAACAAACTTGCCCTCGAGAGGGTGCAGCGTAGATTCACTCGGTTAGTTCCTGGGATGAGGGGACTGACCTATGAGGAGAGGCTGAATAAACTAGGGCTGTATTCTCTAGAGTACAGAAGAATTAGGGGAGATCTTATTGAAACATATAAGATTCTTAAAGGGCTGATAAAGTAGACACTGAGGGTCTGTTTCCCCGGTGGGAGAATATATAACCAGGGGTCACAGTCTGAAAATTAAGGGTCAGCCTTTTAGAACAGAGTTGAGGAAACATTTCTTCGGTCAGAGGGCAGTGAATTTATGGAATTCACTACCCCAGAAGGCTGTAGATGGTCAGTCCTTGAACATCTTCAAGGCTGAGACTGATAGATTTTTTAAAAAACAGAGGGATTAGCGGATATGGGGACAGGGCAGGTAATTAGAGTTAGGTCAGAAGATCAGCCATGATCTTATCGAATGGCGGGGCACAGGCTCGAGGGGCCGAATGGCCTACTCCTGCTCCTAATTCTTATGTTCTTATGTTCTTATTCCTGGTACCATTCCAGTCAATCTCCTTTGCACCCTCTCCAATGCCTTGACATCCTTCCTAAAGTGTGGGGCCCAGAACTGAACGCAGTCACTCGCTGAGGCCTAACCAGTGTTTTATATAAAGGTTCATCATAACTTCCTGACTTGTGTATTCTAAGCCCCTATTTATAAAGCCTTGTATCCCGGATGCTTTTTTAACAGCTGTATCTACCTGTCCTGCCACATTCAAAGATTTCCTTATATGACCCCCAGGTCTCTCTGTTCCTTCACCCTCTTTAAGATTAGACCATCAGCTTATATTGCCTCTCCTCATTCTTCCTCCAAAAATGCATCACTTCACATTTCTCCACATTAAACTTAATCTGCCACGTGTCTGCCCATGTTACCAGTCTGTCTATGTTTACCGTCTGTTACTATCCTCCTCACTGTTTACTACTTTTCCAGTTTAGTATCATCTGCAAACTTGGAAATTGTACTCCCTGTACCTAAGTCCACGTCATTTATATAGATCACAAACAGCAGTGGTCCCAATACTGATCCCTGAGGGACACCATCGCACAGAAAGAAAAACAACCGTTCACCACTACTCTCTACTTTCTGTCTCCCAGTCAGTTCTGTATCCGCTGCCACTATCCCTTTAAGATTGAAGGCTTCTATTTTGCTTATAAGTCTCTTATGTGGCACTTTATCAAACGCTTTTTGAAAATCCATATAAACTACATCAACTGCACTACCTTCTTCCATTACTTCATCATAACCAGGTTTCTTAGCCATGATTTGCCTTGAACAAACCCATGTTGGCTGTCCTTTATTAACCCATATTTTTCTAAGTGAAAAGATATTTTGTCCCAGATTCTAGTCTCTAGAAGAAACTATAATGTAGTATAATGTTGTCATTATTACAGTATTTTACTCTTTTATTCAAACTTTTTTTTAAATCGGACAGTTTAGCCCAAACAATTGATCCAAATTGTTTATGTTTAATTCATACAATAATTGATCAACTATAAATTATCCCCTGATTAACTATAGTGAACAAGTAATATGTTAAATTAAGATCTTGTATTTGTGGGAAAGACATTTTAAAATGTACTTGATTTTGTGGATATTAAACCTTCAGTGAAATGTATCTACAAATCCTATACTAAAATGCCAAAAGGAATAATTTATCATTTCCCTTAAATTGATTCTGACATCAGTAAGAGTAAGAGTGCCTATACATTGGTTTTCTCTTAAACCAACTGTCTCAAAGCTACATGTCTACTGCATGGAAAATCCACACTGTTTGAATAGTTTAGTAACCTTCACCCCAACTCCTTGGTGAGCATGTACCAAGGGGAATTTTGCTCAGCAATAGCACTCTGTTTGGAGTCAAAGGATTTGATGATTAATTAATTATAATCAAAATGATTTGCCTTCGGCAGGGGGCCAACTGTACCTGTGTGTATATCTGCGTGTTCAGTGAAGTCCATCTTCACTTTCCTTGAGTAGCTTGGCTTTTCCAAAGGTTCACTATGCTTTGTTCACTCAGCTTCCACTTTACCTTCTTTTTGGTCAATTCTGTTCTTGTCAAACCTGACAACGTCTGTGAGCTTCTCGGAAAGTTTAATCTCCCTGCACTGGTTGCTGACAGTGACATAACCATTGGTGGGCTGTTCCCCATTCACTTCAGGGTGATTGAACCGAATCTTTCATTTCAAGCTGCCCCCGAATTGTCACGTTGTGAAGGGTGAGTTTTGTTTTCCGGTTTGTTAGTTGACATCCTGCACTATGGATGGTGAGGACTTGCACAGCATCATGGATTTGTTATAAACAAATATTCAAAAACAAAAAGTGTGTCAATTATCTGAGGCTGTGTAACATGGGATTAAACTCAGTTAGTTTACAAAAACAGAAGTGGCCGGGAACCCTCAGCAGGTCAGGCAGCATCTATGGAGGAAGAAAAAGGAGTCAACATTTCGGGTCCACGACCCTTTGTCAGAACATTGACTGACTTTCCTTTCCCCATAGATGCTGCCGGACCTGCTGAGGGTTCCCGGCCACTTCTGTTTTTGTTCCAGATTTCCAGCATCTGCAGTATTTTGCATTCAGTTAGTTTAGCTTGTGTTTGGCGAGCAAGTGTTTATAATATTGAAATGTTTACAACATAATTTGTGAAGTGAGGTTTTCTTTTAAACGTGAACACCTTCACAATGGATTTCAGCAAGAAAAAATATTTCTGGTGATATTTTAAGATAATTAAACACACTTTTTGGCATTGTTGTGTTATAAATAGTGAAGGAATTTGAATGTCTTCTGGGACAGGAAACCACTATAACTGAATGCCGTGTCTATTGGTTTTGCTGGTGTGAGAATGGGTTGTCAGTGTTTAGCAATGGCAACACACTGAATAGGCTGAATAGGTGTAGTTATTGCACAGCACAGCACAGATGGGAACTCTTGTAGGGAAACTTCTCAAGGTAACAACTGGGACACATTGCGTATATAAAAGTAACCATTCCAGTATAGTATAAAGGGTTCTAAGCATTGGTCTTCTAACAGTCAATTTAAAGAACTTCCAAACATTTTAAATAATTGTGTCGTTGACCTTTACATTTCGGTTCATTCAGATGGTGTTGAAATCCTTTGAAGGCTATACTGCTCTTCAAAAAGGGATTCGATTTGGAATTAGCTCTATCTGTAAATAACATCAATTATCCAGATCATCCAGATCAAAATATCCTATTTATTTTTCTGACATTAGGCAAAGTTTTTTATCCTAAACTCTTGTACACCTGGACACTTCAAGTTAACTTTCCTGAGCCAGTTTTGTGCAAATCCAAGTGGCTTCTGGTTGATACTTTTCACGCCATTTGTACCTGTATAATCCTCTTGGTTGTAGGTAAAATGAAAGGAAAGCTAAAAACTAGTTAGTGTAGAGTAGAGGTAGTGTTGCCTGAGTGTAGTGTTGCCTGAAAATCAATAGTTTTAGCCCAGAAGACCGTTTTCTCTTACATTTAATATCACTCGGAACTGTGGAAAATCTTACATTTAACCTTGGTGCTTGTTTCCAATAGCAGCGGAATAACTTCCTCCAAATTATGATTGAATTTCGGACCAGATATGATTTCCCAGTCACAAGTTATTCGGCTACATATCGAAATGGGCTTATTGAAGGTTCTATCTTTTATAATATGAGTTGCTATTACAGTACAGTAACTGTTACGGTGTATTTTTCTCCTGATGTGCAGCATTATGAATTTGCAAAAATCTAAGTACTGAAGTGAAATGGTTTTCAATAGTTTAAATTTCAGAGCATTCCGCTGGGTGCAAACCATGATCTTTACAATAGATGAAATAAACAGAGACCCTCGACTTCTGCCAAACATAACGCTGGGTTACAGGATCTTTGACTCTTGCGACACACACTTCCAGGCTCTGCGAGCTGCCCTAACCATCAACAATGGTCAGGAAACCTCGGTGGCTGATTATGACTGTGCTCCTTCAATGTATGCAGTCATTGGAGACTCGGGATCTACCCAGTCCATCGTGGTGACAAGGCTGCTTGGGCTATTCGGCATCCCGCTGGTACAGTATCGATTCATTATTCCAGAGCAATGTTTTTCTCTTATTTACTTTATAATAATAATAATCCTTATATTTGATATTGCGCCTTATCATAATACAATGCTCCAAATGGGCTCTAACCAGCATTTTATACAACTGTAACAGCACTTCCTTTCTCTTGTGTACCAGCCCCTTGTGATAAATGCCAACATTGCATGAGCCTTTTTGATTACCCTCTGACGTGTGCACCACTTTTTAAAGTTTTATGAACCCGATCACCTAGATTCCTTTGCTCATTAACTCCACTAACTTTCTCCATGAATAGTTCCTCCTAAATTCTCTCTTCACGAAGACAGTGTTTTTAGACCTATAAACTACATTACTCTTTCTAAATCATGGAATTCTGATGAGTAAATAGGAATAAACTGTCTGCCTCAAAGTTTCTTCTGTAACGTATTCACCAGTGCGAACTTTCTTAGGAAAGTTTAGAAAGTTGTTATTTGGTTTCTCTGCAGGTTAGTTACTTTTCTACTTGTGCCTGTTTGAGCGACAAGCAAGAATATCCAGCATTCCTCCGAACAGTGCCAAGTGATTATTATCAAGTCAGAGCTTTGGCTCAACTTGTGAAGTATTTTGGATGGACTTGGGTTGGAACAATTGCGGGCGATGATGACTATGGACATTATGGCATCCAAATGTTCAGTGAACAAGTTAAGACATTCGGAGTATGTATCGCTTTTTCTGAAATAATTCCAAAAATAAATTCCAAGAAAAAGGTGGTTGAGATAGTGGAGATGATTGAAAAATCTAGAGCAAAGGTTATACTTGTCTTCGCTGTTGAACAGGACATGGAACTAATTGTCAAAGAAGCAATACGACAAAATATTACTGGAGTCCAGTGGATAGCGAGTGAGGCGTGGGTGACATCCGCTCTGCTTTCGAGTCAAGACAATTCTATTTTGATAGGTACCCTGGGATTTGCACTTCGCAGGGCAGAAATATCAGGGCTTCAAGAATTTCTTCATAAGGTTCACCCTTTCAAAGCTCCTCAGAATCCCATTGTGACCGAGTTTTGGGAAACTTTATTTCACTGCTATTTGGGAAATGACACATCACAAAGCAAACCATCATGTACAGGATTAGAGGATTTAAAAACACATGAAAATATATATTCTGATGTATCGCAACTCAGAGTATCATACAGTGTGTACAAAGGAGTCTATGCTGTAGCTCATGCCCTTCACCATCTTTTTGCATGTCAACCTGGACAAGAACTCATTGTGAATGACACTTGTCCAAACACTGTAAATATTGAACCGTGGCAGGTAAGGAACCATTCATTGGATAACTCATTTGTGAAAAAAGATAGTGAATAAACAAATGTTTATTTCAATAACATTTATATAAAAACATGATGAAACTACATTGTTAAACAGAAATAGAGAAAGTGATTTCATACCTTTTTAACATCTGATTTTGATTTGTCTTCCCAAAGCTTTTGCATCACCTCAAGCGCATTAAATTCACTGATTCATTTGGAAATGAAATACTCTTTGATCCAAATGGAGATCCTATTCCATCTTATGACTTATTGAACTGGCAAAGGAAGGTGGACAGTTCTACTCAATATGAAACAGTGGGTCGATATGGGAGTGCTTTGGGTTCATATCATGAACTGCATGTATATGGACAAAGTATTGTTTGGAATAGTGGTAAGAAAAAGGTAATTTGATTTAGAAAAAAATATTACTTTTTGAAATTAATTTGGTTCACTATAGTCCAGAGGCCGTTAATGGGCCATGGTCTTAAACTCAGAAAGAGATGGTAAATAGAAAGTTTAGATGAACTAGTTCTTATATAAACTCTGCTGGTGACTCCAGTCTGCTCCCCAGGAGAAGACTAGGCATTCTTATTATTCAGATTATATGTAAAACATCAAACTCTTGTAACATCCGCTCTCGTAATATGTGTTACAGAACAACTTGCTAGTTCAGAATCCTAACCAAATTGCCCATGATTTAGAAGCATTTGGTACTTAAAAGATGGCTTCTATTTGAAATTAGATTTTACACCAGTGTATCCAAAGCAAATCTTACTCAGAAACTTGGAGCAAATGTGTTTTTGAGGCAATGAAATAAGACGCTTTTCTCTAACATATTATTTTCCTGAAATAGGAGCCCAATGACTGACAGCAAAAGCAAACAGGAGGAAATGTATTGTACCCAGCAGAATATTGTTTTGATGGGGAGTAACATTTATTTTGCAAAACTTTTTTTATTTTACATTTAACAGGTTCCACAGTCCCTGTGTAGTGTGAATTGTCTATCAGGAACAAGGAAAGCTGCGAGGGAAGGCCAGCCTATTTGCTGCTTTGACTGTATTCCATGTGCAGATGGGGAGATCAGTAACACAACAGGTAATGAAATAAATCCAATTGTCAGTTTAATCACTAAAAATGGTATTTCTCATATAAAATGAGATGTTGGCTAAAGCTTTACCAAGTCTTAACTCAATCATACTCCCTGAATACTCTCTTACATTTGAAAAATGACAAACAATAAAAATTACACTTGTAATCTCAAGATAAATCATGTTTAGCAATTAAACCGACATTTGATGTTTTAAAATGCCAATAATGCATCATTTTGTTAAAAAGAATAATAATAAAAATACTTGATTTGATTAGCGAGATATTTCAAAGCGCTTCACAGGATGTAATGTAAAATGCATTGTCTGTGTATTTTGTGGGAAACACACAGTAGTATCCCACAAACAGCCATGGAAATGGAAATAGTGCCATCCACCTGAAGGATGACACCTCAGACAATGCCACACCCCCCCAGGCTTGCGTGTCAGAGTTTTTGATTCCAAGTCTCGACGTGGGCTTGAACCAACAAGCTACCCACTGAGACAAGCTGACACACTGGATACTGTGAATTTCAACCATTAATATATTTTATTGCTCCAGAGATATTTAACATGAGAAGAAAGATTATTTAGCTTAAAATCTAAATCTTTACTGGCTTTGTGCCTGGAACTTGGCATCATCCATATTTATTAATAACCAAAGGTCAAATATATTTCCACTTACATGTTTATAATAATGATTGCATTTGATATAGCACCTTATCATATCATGAGATATCTCAAAGTGCTACATGTGATATACTGTACAGTTGATGGACTGTGATGGACTACCATCGGTGGTCGGGCCTTCAGCCTCTCAGCCCCCAGGCTCTGGAACTCCATCCCCCAGTGCCTTCGCCGCTTCCTCCCTTTCCTCCTTCAAGGCCGGTCTCAAAACCTTTCTCTTTGACCGTGCCTTCAGCTCCCCTCTCGACTCTCTTCCCCCTCCTCGCTCCCTCCCTTCCCTCCCCTCACCCTGACCATTTCCCCCCTCCTTGCTCCCTCCCTTCCCTCACCCTGACCATTTCCCCCCTGCTCGGGTCATGACCCAACTGTGCAGCGCCTTGGGACGTCCTCCTGACGTGAAAGGCGCTTTATAAATGGAATCTTGTTGTTGTTGTTGTTGTGTGTTTTGTGGGTGAAATGTAATTAGAATGTTCATTTTCTGCTCTTTGTTTCTCAATTTCAGATTCAGTGCAATGTATTAAATGTGATTTAGACTACTGGTCCAATTCACAGAACAACCAATGCATATTGAAGGAAATAGAGTTCCTTTCATTTGGAGATGCAATAGGAATCTCATTGGCAACAATTGCCTTATTGGGGACAGGGCTCACAATCACCATTGCAGCAGTTTTCACACATTACAGAACAACTCCAGTTGTAAGGGCAAATAATTCAGAATTAAGTTTCCTTATTTTGTTTTCACTGGCTTTGTGTTTTATGTGTTCACTTATTTTTATTGGTCAGCCTTCGGTCTGGTCCTGTAGTTTATGCAACACACTTTCTGGCGTTAGTTTTGCTCTCTGTGTTTCCTGTATTCTGGCAAAAACCATTGTGGTGTTAATGGCATTCAAAGCAACAGGTCCAAATACAAATACCATGAAATGGTTTGGACCAATGCAGCAAAGAGCGTTTATATTACTCTGCACGTGTATACAGATTTCAATATGTGTGTCATGGTTAATTACATCACCACCTTTACCCGTAAAAAATACAACATATCAAAGTGGAAAAATTATTCTGGAATGTGCTATTGGATCAGTAAAGGCCTTTGCAGTTGTATTAGGTTATGTATTTCTCTTATCTTCTTTGTGTTTAGTGCTGGCCTATTTTGCTCGCAAGCTACCTGATAATTTTAATGAAGCTAAGTTTATAACATTCAGCATGCTTATTTTCTTTGCAGTTTGGATAACATTCATCCCGGCTTATGTAAGCACCCCTGGAAAATATACAGTAGCGGTGGAAATATTTGCTATTTTGTCTTCAAGCTTTGGGCTTCTACTTTGCATTTTTGCTCCTAAATGTTACATTATTTTATTTAAACCAGAGAGAAATACTAAAAAGCACCTAATGGGTACAATGATCACTGACAAAACATCTTAGCGGTTCTTTTCTAGGCGCTTTAAGTCTATCTTGAAATACATTACAAAGAATTACAACAAATGTATAGCACAGAAACAGGCCACTCAGCCCAACTGGTCGCTGCTGGTGTTTATATTCAGCATGAATCTTCAGGACCTCGGTTTGAGTGCTGGCTGATATTGAACTCCTACAACACCGATATCACTTACAATAATCCCCCAAATAAAATTGGTCATTTGTTTCATGGTTGTGTGTGGAACATTACTGTGCACAATTGTGCTGCCACATTTGCCTAGGAACACAGTCAATCCACTTTACAGTAAATCCTGTGAAACACTTTGAGACATAGTTCCGATGTGATAAGGCACTATATCAAATACAAGGATTATTATTATATATGTACTTTATTGTTAAAATTGTATTATTGCATTAAAATTTGTCTGAATGTTTACATTACCTATTTAGGGCTTGTATTGTAATTGAAATTGCCCAGTTTAAAAGGTAGGGTTTTTATGATTCTTATGGCTTATGTTTCTGGAAGCGAAACACAAAAATATTTCTCAAATAGGGCATCCAATCCTCAGCAACCAAGAGATTGGACCAGCCAGATATAGACTAGACAGCTTCATTATTTTTCCTGCCAAAGTGAAATTCTTTGCATTTTTTTCTACATTAAACCCAATTTGCCATCTATCTGCCCATTCTGTTAACCTGTTTATGTCTTGCTGCATTCTTCTGCAATCCCCTGCACTGTTTACTATGCCCTCCAATTTTGTGTCACCTGCAAATATTGACACCACACCTTCTGTGTATATGATTAACAGTAGCAGTCCTAATAGGCATCTCCGGAACACCACTTCCTACCTCTCCCAGTGTCTGGTCAACAATCCCTCAAATAAAATTGGTCATGGCTGTTTGTAGTACACTGCAATTGGATGCTGTGTTTCGCTCACAAAATACGGTCTAAAAACCCTTTACAGTATATTCTGAGATGCGTTTTGAGATGTTTTGATGATGTGATAAGGCACTGTTTTAAATGTGAGGATTATTATTAAAATTGGCCACAGCATTCGGGATAAGGCTGAAAATGTAAACAGAACTCAACAATACAGAGGGAGAGGGAAAAATAGCAAGAAAATACATTTTTAAAAATACAAAGTTATGACAACCGTAGGATTCAATTTTCAGTCAAATATAATTCACTGCAGGAAACATTCAATGCAGGCCATGATATATGACATTTATTAACCCATTTTAATATACAGATAAAACAACATTGAACGATGTGAAAAGGTACTATATATTTTCAAGGTCTCCATTTCCCAACCAGTATGCTTCTCAGCTCACTGCAAAAAATATCATCGATATTTCTACTGTTGTTACAAGATAACACCACAAAACATTGATAGCAAAGGTTATTATTAAGGTTATAAAACATTTGTAACCATAACAAAGCCATGAAGGATGACTTTTCCAATCATCTTCTGTTTATTACTGGTTTACCCATCAGATGTTTCTTGGTGTTGTGTTCTGGCTTTAACAAGATAATGTAACATTTTGGAACAAAGATACAGAAAAGGAGACCAAAGCTTGAAGCCAATATGGCAAATATCTCCACAGCCACAGTGTATTTGCCAGGAGTGCTGACATATGCTGGTATAAACGTTACCCACACTGTAAAAAAGATCAGGATGCTGAAGGTTATATATTTAGCCTCATTGAACTGATCTGGTAACTTTCGAGCTAAGAAAGCTAAAATAAAACAAGTCCCGGCTAATAGCCCAATGTAACCCAACACACAGCAGAAGGCCACAGTGGAGCCCACATCACATTCAAGGATAATCTTTGCCTTGTGATACTTAAAGTTTTTGGCTGGGAATGGAGGTGATGTGGTCAACCATATTATACATAGAATCATTTGAATCAATGTAGTGATGAAGACAATTGACCTTTGCTGTGTGGCTCCAAACCATTTCATTACGTTACTGCCCGGCAGTGTTGCTCTGAACGCCATCAGCACCACTAGTGTTTTACCAAGAATACAGGAAATGCACAAAACAAAACTGATTCCAAACACAGTGTGGCACACCATACATGACCAAGCTGTTGGCTGTCCAATGAAGGCAATGGCGCACAGAAAACACAGGATTAATGATGTCAGTAGTAGGAAACTGAGTTCAGAATTGTTAGCCTTTACAATGGGAGTCTTTATGAAATATAAGAACACACATGCGACAGTCACTGTGATACAAGCCCCAGACAGTGAGATGACTGTGAGTGTTATCCCCATGGTGTCTTGGAAGGAGAGATATTCTGTGTCTTTCAGAATGCATTCTGTTCTTCTATCATTCGACCAGTGATGTACTGAGCATCTCAAGCATTCGACAGAATCTAAGGATGAAAAAATACATCATTAAAATCATAGAAATCATAGAATTATACTCCACAAAAGGAGACCATTCAGTCCATCGAGCCTCTGCTGGTCTTGGGAAAAGAGCTACCCAAATCAATCCCATTCCTCCATTCTCTCCCCATAGCCCTGCAAACTTGTTCTCCCCAGTATTAATCATATTTTTATATAGATTTTGAGCTGTTTTTTCTAATTATTGACTACAATAATTAGTCATCACAGCATTAGCCAATGTTGGCACAGCAGTGGTATTTTGGGTCCTGGACAGTCTTAACCTACACAAAAAACTGAGTTCGATTCATTCAGTTTTCTATCTTCCCATTCTCAGTTTGTGTTATGGCTTGATCTAAATCGAATCTAAACTAACCTGTTTGGTTACTGACCTCCCCATCGGCACAGACTATACAATCAAAGCAACAGATCGGCTGATCCTTTCGAGCCGCTTTTCTGCTTCCTGGAGGACAGCTTAGGCTGCACACTGAGATTGGCACCTGTGGGTAGAGAAACATTACATTTCATGTTATTACCACTCGAGCCCAAGAGTGCATTGTAGATGTTGAAAATAAAGATTTTTACGGATTGTAAGATATTTAGTTTTCCATCTTCTGAATATAATTATGTTCCACAAAAGAAAATATTGTCTCTTTAAATAAAAGTTCAGACTAGTAAAATGCCATGAATATATGATTAAATGTAAGATTTCTCTCCAATGGTTGAGGTGTCATTTATAACATGAGTTTCAGCAACATCAACAGAATTTCTCTGAGCTTTCTACAATTATTTACAAGCCACACAATAATAAAAGTAGTAAGAGAAGTTCTACCAAAATTTTAATTTGTGTAATAATGTGACAATTGCTCCAGAGCAAGTCTTCATTTACTCACTCCAATTAAATACAGCGTGAAGATTATTCCATTTTTTGTACCAACTATATATTTTTGAAATCTAATAGTGTACCAAATAGAAATGTTCTATTATTTGTAAGCATTTTCCCAGGGGATTTAGGTATGTGTAATATTTATGAGGGGGTTATGACAGGATTGCGGGACTTCTGTTTGCGGATGATATTATGCTGCTGGAAGATTCACCTGGGGACCATCTGAGCTGCATCTGCCATCTTGAACACTGAGCCAACTTGTGGGAGATGGTGGTGGGCGCCTCAAGTGCATAATCATGGTTCTGCACAGCCCAAAAGAAGATGTCGAGGGTATCCATTGAAAGATACAAGGGGTATCAGTCCTAATTATTGATTCTTATCAGTACCTCAGAGTCGTGGTGGACACCAACTTCAGCCTGGACACTGTCCTGAGGGATTGCGCTGAGAAGGGGTGAAGGGCACTCTGGTCATGCTTGTCCCTATTCAAGGACAGCAAGGTAATAATAATAATCCTTATATTGCATTTGATATAGCGCTTTTCACATCGGGAGGACGTCCCAAAGCGCTTCACAGAACACACTGTAAAGTGAATTGACTGTATATTTGTGGGCGAACGCGGCAGCCAATTGCGCACAGCAATGTCTCACAAACAGTCGTAGATTGAAATGACCAATTTATTATTGTTTGGGGTTTTGGAGGGATTATTATTAGGTGTATGGAGTAAGGAAACTTGCCCAAGGTTTCGCCCTCTGCCTGGAATTGAACTCAGGTCTCTCGCTTGCAAAGCGAGTGCTCTAACCACTGAGCTACAGGACTCCAAGGTCCCAATGCAGGTCAAGCTTGCGGCACATAAGACCTATTTGAATATTTCCTTATTTTTTTCCAACTGTAAAGCACAATTTATGAATAAAATACTTGCATAATACAGACACAAAAGACAATGTGAAGTACGTTGATGTTCCATTTGGGCAATAAAGGGAGCAAATTGTATTCCACTTTTTTTTAGACAAGAGCAATTTTAGAAATAGTTGTAAAATTGTAGTCTTACATTATTTTGTCTTCCATTCCAATAGATAGTACTTTCATCCAATACTAGTTCTTCCCCTGGAAGCAATGCTGCATCATAATACCCAACTTTAACAAAGTCTACAGAACCATTAGCTGTCCTTTGCCAGTTGATGAGATCATACGAAGCGATGGGATCTCCATAGTCATCAAAGGCGATGTCTTCTCCAAACCCATTGGTAAACCTCACCTCCTTGAGGTAGTGCAGAAGCTTCAGAAAAATGAATTGGGAAATGCCTCATGATTGAGAATAGTTTGGGAGTCTAATTTGTGATAAAGAGCCAACTAAAACGTACCTTTTTACTTCAGAACTACATTCGTCGGTAATTTAAGGTGCAATCTTTTGGACATCTCATGTGTTACATTCATATCGATCAAATGGTAAAGATCAAATGCCTCTTACCTGCCAAGGCAAAATGGTGAATTTTTGGCCACATGTGTTATCGGTAAATGGATCTTTTTCAAGTTCACATGACAGCAAATTATGAAGTGCGTAGGCTGCGGCATAGACAGCTTTATACACATTGTATGAAACTCTTAACTGGGAGACATCGGTGTATATGTTCTCAATTGTCTCCAAGTTCTCCAGTCCTGTGCACGGCCCATAAGGAGATAAGGATGTATTCTGTTCCAACAATCCAATCCTTGTTTCCAATTCACACCCAAATACTTCTTGCCAGAGTTCCCTCACAAACGGATTATCTGGCGCTGTGGAAGGATGGAGTTTGACAAGGAATTCTCTCAGCCCGGGAATTTCTGCTTTGCGAATTCCGAAACCTATTGTTCCAGACAGTAACTCCTGAGTTTCCTCTGTCCATAACAAGGATGACGTCACCCAGGCTTCGCTTGCTATCAGCTGTATGTCAGTAATGTTCTGCTCTTTCAATCCCTCAATCACGACCAGAGTGTCACTCTCCCCGCAGAACAACACCATTACTCTGGCCGAGGATGTCCCAATGGTATTTACAATCTGCTGGATCATATCTCTGGTCCGAACCGGAGGGATGAATTCAATGTAGGCAATGCAGACATTGGAGTTTGTGACTTCCTCAATAAAAGATTGAATGCCAAATTGGCCATAGTCACTGTCAGCGGCCACAACCCCGACCCAAGTCCATTGGAAACGTTGGACTAGACTGACCAATGCTTTGACTTGAACAGCGTCGCTGGGAACCGTCCTGAGAAACGTGGGAAACTCTCGCTTGTCGCTAAGACATGCGCAGGTCGCAAAATAACTCACCTGTAGAGAATTGACAATACATGTTTTTCATGAAAAAAATGGCAAAATACACTATTCTATCACCCAGATTTAAGAGTAAGTTATGGCTGTTTTGTGATTCCTGCAGGTTAATAACAACAATAGTAACAACAAATTGTAAATTAACATTTATATACTGCAGCACCTTTCATGTCCGGACATCCTAAGGCTAATAATTATATTGGAACCCATTAATAATAATAATCCTTGCATTTGATATAGCACCTTATCACATCATTAAGACATCTCAAAGAACTTCACAGAATATACTGTAAATTGAATTGACTGTATATTTTGTGGGTGAAACTCAACAGCGCACAGCAGTGTCCCCACAAACAGTCCTGGATTGAGTGACAACATTTTTTTTTGAAGGCAATTAAAATCAATACAGTACAAGATTCCAGTTGAATGTCAGTCTCTCTCTGCACCTTGTTCATTCAGCCACAAATGTGCACCAAGTGTACGGTAGCCTGGTGTCCAGCCTGGTGGCCTCACATCTTAAACTGAACAACTAAACGCCTCTGACACACAAACAGGTCGTGTCACTGAGATAGCAATTTCGAGGAGGCGAGGCCAGGAGATTTCAGCTCACGTTTTCAGGTGTGGTCATTGCCCGCTGGTGAATAATTGTGTTCAGCTGTCAGTTTGACTTCAAACGTCTTCCATCAAATGTAAATTAAAATGTGCTTAATTAAATTTTAATGTTACTTGTATTTGATACATTGCCTTATCACATCTTTAAAATGTCTCAAAGCGCTTCACAGAATAATTATAATCATTGCATTTGATATAGCACCTTATCATGTTTTTGAGACGTCTCAAAGCACTTCAAAGAGTATACTGTAAAGTGAATTGACTGTATATTTTGTGGGCGAAATGTGGCAGCCAATTGTGCGCAGCAGCGTCCCACAAACATGGATTGCGTGGCCAATGTATTATTATTTTTAAGGAATTATTACCCTTGGAAAAGCAATCTGCCAATTGACTAACAATCAGGTTCCTACTTACTCCTAGGTAAACAGAGGCGTGTGAGTAAGGAAACCTGCCCAACATTTCGCCCTGCCGGGAATCGAATCCAGGTCTGTCATTTGCGAGGTAAGTGCTTTATCTACTGAGCTATAGGAATATACAGTAAAGTAAATTGACTGTATATTTTGTGGGCAAATTGCATAATTACATTTTAGGAATAAACATGTATGGCTTTATTCAAATAATCACAGCAACTTCATTAATTTGCTCTTACCAAGGGAATCCCAAAAAGGCCCACAATGCGGGATACAGCAGCGGAGTGGGATGACCCGGCATCCCCGATGATAAGAGGCACAGACGGGGATCTGTCACACTGGTGACCCAAAGGAGCCTTTTCCTCATCTTGGTTAAGGAATTGGAGAGTGCATTTCAGCGCTTCTGATGATGTGTCGCAGCTGTCCATAACCCTGTAACCCAAGGTTGTGTTGGGAAGCAGAGCTGGATTCCTGTTAATTTCCTCTATTGTAAAGATCATTGTCTGAACCCAGCGGAGTCCTCTCAGGTTGAACCTAGCACACACACACAAACACACACACGTATGGTTGTAGGATTTATATAGAGATTCCTCTTATTGAAGTAAATCCCAATTATCCCACAACGCTGCTTGTCATCTATGGTTCTGCTCCCTTTTACTGTTGGGGATGTTAGAATATTAAATCTTGAGTGAAGCTGTGAAAACAGAATTAGGTGCAGTGTGTAACTGGTCCCGTATTACCTCAGCCAGTATTACGCACCAATACACTTTGCAAAACCTCCACTTGCTAGGCTTATCTGCGGCTCAGTCAGTGAAGCCCACTGTCAGCTGTTAAAGTGAGTCACATACACACAGCCTCCAAGCTGAGCTCAGACAAGAAAGCAATAGGGGGTGTCAGCAGCAATGGACTACTGAGAAAATCAGACAGGATTTGTCCAACAACACTGCGTGAGGCATACTGGGAGGGGAGGTGAGGAACTCTTTCCCCACCCCATCATCTCTATTGTTAATGGAGCCTCATTGTCTAAGATCAGACATGACAGATAATAATAATAATTCTTGCATTTGATATAGCTCTTTATCACGTCGATGAACTTCTCAAAGCCCTTCACAGAATATTTTCTGATGATCACTTAGGCCAGGTTCTATAGGTTTTCAGCATCTGGGAAACCCAAGCCAACATGAGGTAACACCAGAGGAAAGAGGCATTGCAAATCAGCTGCTTTTAATGTAGTAAGTAATGTCACTATGTTATAACTCACTCTTGGCAACGCTTCTCTTCAGGTTTAGAATGTAACGAGGTGTTCCGCTGAGCTGTTCTGAAATGCACAATAAATAACCCACCCAGAACTACATCTCCGGACTTGAACAAACCACGGGTGTTAAAATTGTCCTGAAGTTTACAAGTCACGTCCCCTCCAGCCACCCTGGAAACAGTCTGGATCAGAAGCCAAAACCACAGAATCCCATGGAGCAGCATATTAACGTGTTGCTCACCTCTGGGAGCGATGCTGTATAGCTCTCACCCCGAACGTTAGTGATATATAAACACGGCCAAATGCACGTGGGAAATTAGCAAAAGGATCTTTTTTATGAATGACAACCCAGCGGGAGTCAATGAACCAGTTGCACTACACTTATGAGCAATAAATTAATTGGAGTGGGAAATGTCACCTGTCTCAAGCCTGTTAATTTCCAATGAGGTTGTGATGTCATGTAAAGTTATCTTGAGCTCAACCGGATTAAGTTTAATTTCCTAAAGGAAACTCATCAATAATGTGCAAACAATTCTCCTGAGCAACGTTATTAATGGACTGTAAAGCTCAACATTTTAAAGGAAAAAGGGTATTTAATATTTGTGCTTATGTTGCCAATATGAGTTGGCAAAAGCTGAGACTTTCAAGTGACATGTGTAACTTGATAAGTTTCAAGAAAAAGTACATTCAAAATGTTTATTTATATTAGTAATCCTTCTTCACAAATAAATAATTATTTGTTTAGAAAGTCCGACTGCATTAATTTGTTGAGGTTAGGATTCTGTCTTCAAATATATTATCTAGCACAATTCTAGGGATAAATAAGGATAAACATGTAATTGTATTTATTTTGCACAACATAAGAATCTCAGTACAGGACAGGAAGATAAAGCTGTTAAAAAAGCATCCGGGATACAAGGCTTTATAAATAGGGGCAAAGAATACACAAGTCAGGAAGTTATGATGAACCTTTATATAAAACACTGGTTAGGCCTCAGCGAGAAACTGCGTTCAGTTCTGGGCCCCACACTTTTGGAAGGATGTCAAGGCATTGGAGAGGGTGCAAAGGAGATTGACCGGAATGGTACTCAGGAATGAGGGACTTCGGTGATCAGGAGAGGCTGCAGAAGCTGGGATTATTCTCCATGGAGCAGAGGAGGTTAAGAGGAGACTTAATAGAAATTTTCAAAATGATGAGGGGATTCGATAGGGTGAACAAGGAGGAACTATTTCCACTGGCGGGTGAGTCGGTAACCCGAGGACACCCATTTAAAATAGTTGTTAAAAGAAACAGTGGAAAGGTGAAGAGAATTTTTTTCACACAGCGAGTTGCCCTGGTCAAAGTGACAAATGACATTCTGCCCTCTGCCTCCTCCCTCCTTGACCTCTCGGCTGCTTTTGACACTGTCGACCACTCTATCCTCAGACACCGCCTCTCCTCTCACCTCAGCCCTGTCCTTGATTGGTTCAGATCGTACCTCTCACACCACTTGCACTTCATCTCCTCCTCAAATGGCTTCTCTTCCAGCCCCCCCCCCCCCTCAGGGCTCTGTCCTCGGTCCCCTACTCTTCAACATCTATATGCTATCCCTTGGTGACATCATCCGCAGACATGGGGTCAACTTCCACACGTACGGGGATAACACCCAACTCTACCTCTCTGCCTCCCCCATTGACTCAAGGACCCACTGCTGTCCTGACAGACAGTCTGTGAGACATCAAGTCCTCAATGAGAGCTAACTTTCTTCAGTCGAACGTCAACAAGACCGAGGTTCTCCTGATTGGCTCCCGTCAGTGCCTCCTCACATCAGGCCATCCATGGTTGCACACTCCACCTTGCTAAGCCAGTCCAGAACCTTAGGGTCTTGTTCGACCTGCAACTATCCTTTCTACCCCACATTCGCGCCATGACCTGCTCTGCCTTCTCCCACCTCCGCAACATTGCCCGCTCCGACACTGTCTCACACCACAGGCCGCCAAAACCCTCACACACACCTTCATTACATCGAGGCTCGACTATGCAAACTCATCGCTTATCGGCCTCTTCAACCCCTTCCTCCACAGGCTGCAGATCATCCAGAACTCTGCAGCCCGTGTCCTCTCCTGCACTAGGCTCCGTGACCCTGTCACCCCCATCCTCACCCGACTCCACTGGCTTCGCATCACACAAAGGATACAGTTCAAGATCCTGGTCCTCATCTTCAAAGCCCTCCATGGTCTTGCTCCCCCCTACCTCTGTGACCTCCCAATTCCTTACCATTCTGTTCGCTCCCTCCACTCAGCGGGCTCCAGCATGCTTCACGTCCCCCTCCTTGCTCGCCCTATTATTGGTGGGTGGGCCTTCTGCCACTCTGCCACCACCCTCTGGAACTCCATCCTACAGTCCCTCCACCTCACCCCCTCCCTTGCCTCCTTCAAGACCCATCTCAAGACCCTCCTCTTTGACCATGCTTTCCATCTCCCTGCTTCACCCACTGCTCTCCACCTTCCCCCACCCTGAACCCCAGCTCGGGTCCATAACTCTGTCTGCCCAGCACCTTGGGATGTCCTCCCGACGTGAAAGGCCCTTTAAAAATGTAATTTTGTTGTTGTTGTTGTACAAACATGATCTTATCTTATCTTATATCTTATCAAGTCTCTGGAAAGAGATTTCCCCTATCCCACTGATGCAGATTTCTTCACAAAAGCTGTTTTGGAATCCACAGAGATACTTGCACAAAGCACAAAGCAACCAGCTGGCATCACAGGTATGTGCAAATATCCAAAAGAGTAAACGTTAGCCAGCACCATCTCAGGCTCCATGGACGAATGATGTCCTTCTACCCTGTGAGTTCAATGATTCTTGGATCTTTTATGTGATGTCATAAAGGTTCTAAATATACACTCCTCATTTTCAAAGATGTATTTTGTCATGATTTACCACAAAATGTTCCTTGATATTTTCTTCTGGTTTCAAGAAGATAATGTATCCTGTGATGTATGTTGATCCACTACAATGAGGTTATACGTGGGATTTATCAGCATTGTATGGAAATGATCCAGCCCTACAATCCTGAAATAGCAGAAGATGATTGCTTTGTGGAATAAATGAAAAATGAAAAAATCCTTTGACAAGATCACGTACACTTAATTGTTCGTCATGTAAATTTTATTTTAGTCAATTCAGTCTGTAACTATTTACCCATCAGATGTTTCTTGGTGTTGTGTTCTGGCTTTAACAAGATAATGTAACATTTTGGAGCAAAGATACAGAAAAGGAGACCAAAGCTTGAAGCCAATATGGCAAATATCTCCACAGCCACAGTGTATTTGCCAGGAGTGCTGACATATGCTGGTATAAACGTTACCCACACTGTAAAAAAGATCAGGATGCTGAAGGTTATATATTTAGCCTCATTGAACTGATCTGGTAACTTTCGAGCTAAGAAAGCTAAAATAAAACAAGTCCCGGCTAATAGCCCAATGTAACCCAACACACAGCAGAAGGCCACAGTGGAGCCCACATCACATTCAAGGATAATCGTTGCCTTGTGATACTTAAAGTTTTTGGCTGGGAATGGAGGTGATGTGGTCAACCATATTATACATAGAATCATTTGAATCAATGTAGTGATGAAGACAATTGACCTTTGCTGTGTGGCTCCAAACCATTTCATTACGTTACTGCCCGGCAGTGTTGCTCTGAACGCCATCAGCACCACTAGTGTTTTACCAAGAATACAGGAAATGCACAAAACAAAACTGACTCCAAACACAGTGTGGCACACCATACATGACCAAGCTGTTGGCTGTCCAATGAAGGCAATGGCGCACAGAAAACACAGGATTAATGATGTCAGTAGTAGGAAACTGAGTTCAGAATTGTTAGCCTTTACAATGGGAGTCTTTATGAAATATAAGAACACACATGCGACAGTCACTGTGATACAAGCCCCAGACAGTGAGATGACCGTGAGTGTTATCCCCATGGTGTCTTGGAAGGAGAGGAACTCAATTTCTTTTGGTACACACTCATCATTTTGGCCATTAGACCAAGATTCCACAGGACATTTGATGCATTCTGTAGCATCTGTAAAAGAAATAGAAAGGAAGAAAGTGTTTGCATCTCACAAACCAAACTTAGGACACAATTGTCCCGCTTTAATGTAATGCAGAAGAATTCTCCCATTATTCATCCTGCCCTCTCGGGGTCTGTTGCTTTTGATCTGAGTAGTGATCCGTACAAATACCTGTTTGGTTACTGATCTCCCCATCAGCACATGGTAAACAATCGAAGCAGCAGATCGGCTGACCTTCTTGCAAGGCTTTCCTGGTACCAGGCACGCAGCTCTGGCTGCACGCTGACACTGGCACCTGCAGAGAAAGACATCTGCATTTTAACTGAATTCTATGTGAATAGTATCAATAATAAGCCTTGGATTTCATATAAGGCATTTCATTTCAAGAGGACGTCTTCAAAGTGCTTGACCGGATTTACAGTAATGTGCAGTGACCGTGGATCTTGTAGGTGACTAATTGGCATTCTCTACGACAGGAGATATTTGTTGAATAGGTTTAAACATTTACAAGATTTGCAGGAGTGTTTCACCTATATAAAATGCATTGATTCTAGTGAAATCCTTTCCTTGATGCACTTTACAGCAATGTTTGCATCATAAACTAATAATTTTCTGCCATGCAATGTAGACTAGTTTCTCTGTGAATCCACTTTTGAGAGGGAGCATGAAATTCATGAACACTCTGGCCACAAAATCGGCCTGCTGTATTTGCTTATCATGTCTTTGAAGTGTGTACTTTATTCATATTGTTTTGAACTGATTAAAATAAGTTTGGGAATATGCAAAGTTCACTTCTATTTTTATCCAACCTTAGCCAATTACAAGTCTAGTTTAATGTGCTTTGATTCTTTATATTATAAAATCGAGACAAATATCAGGACTGAAATAAGGCCAATAAACTCCTGAAAATAAAAGTTATAACTGGATAAATAGGCTACAACTTTATCAGGTCATTGTCACTTTTCTCAATACAGGACGATAGAGTGGATCTGATTATGTGATATGCTAAAATGGGCTTACAGTGTTTCCTGTCCCATGGCATGTAACTCTTCCTTCATCCAATACTAGTTCTTCTCCAGGTGACAACGATGCATCATAATAACCCACTTTCACCAGTTGAAGGGAGCCATCCTCACTTCTCTGCCAATTGATGAGATCATATGAAGCGATGGGATCTCCATATTCATCAAAGGCAATGTCTTCTCCAAACTGATTGGTAAAGCTGACTTCCTTTAGGTAGTGTAGCAGCTAGAAAAAACAATAAGATTATAACGGAATGAATTCTAAAATCCTCAGAAATTTTGAGACCTTTAAGGTTACATTTTCTCTTTTACTCAGACAGTTGTTCCTTTCTTACACAGAGAGTTGTTACAGACTGGAATGCACTCTGCAGGAAATGGTGACGGAAACAGATTCGATAATAGCTTTCAAAAGGGAATTGGATAGTTACTTGAAAAGGAAAAATTTACAGGGCAATGGGTAAAGAGTGGAGGAGTAGAACTAGTTATTAGCTTTTTCAAAGAGCCAATGCAGGCATGATAGGCCAAATGGCCTCCTTCTATGCTGTAAGAATCTATGATTCTATGATATACAACATGCATGATCATTACATTTATGTTCAAATCATTCATTTCAGTCATTCAAAAACAAAAATTTGGTCGATTTATTTTGGCAAGGAGGATAAGGATAAACAGTATTTGTGGCCTTACCTGCCATGGCTCAATGTGTGACTTTCGGCCACAAGTTTTGTTAGCAAATGGGCCTTTCCCATCTTCACACAACAGCAAGTTATGAAGAGCGTGAGCAATAGCGTACACAGCTTTGTAAACGTTATATGAGACTCGTAACTGGGACACGTCAGTGTATATAGTCTCAGTGTTCTCCAAACTCTCTGACCCTGTGCATTGTGTGTATAAAGACATTGACTCACTTTGACCTGGGCTGAGAGCTAAGATATTTACACTGCAGCCAAACACTTCCTCCCAGAGTTCTTCCACAAACGGGTTGTCTGATGCTGTAGAAGGATGGAGTGTGACAAGGAATTCTCTTAGCCCTGGAATTTCCGCTTTGCGAATCCCAAAACCCAATGTTCCAAACAATATCTCATCAGTTTCTTCTGTCCACAAGTGAAATGATGTGATCCAAGCCTCGCTGGCAATCAGCTGGATGTCACTGATATTCTGCAGTCTGAGTTCTTTCACCAAAAGAGGTGTCTCGACCTCACCACAGAAAATGATGACTACTTTGGCAGTGGATGTCTTAATGGTGTTTACCACCTCGAGAATTCTCTCCTCAGTACGAGTGGCAGAGATGAATTCAATGAAAGAAATGCAGATGTCAGAGCGAGCCACCTCTTGAATGAAAGACATCATGCCAAAGCGACCATAATCGTTATCTTCGGCCACAGCTCCCACCCATGTCCATCTGAAATGTTGGAGGAGTCTGACTATGGCTTTGATTTGCACAGCATCACTAGGGATGGTCCTGAAGAATGTGGGGAACTCACCCTTATTGCTCAGACATGTGCAGGAAGCATAGTAACTGACCTGTAAAGCAAAAGGGCATCATAACTTATTGGATAATTGGGGACATTCTCCCACCATGAAAGATACTATACAAATGTAATTTTTTGTTGTTTGTTGTTGGTACAGACCAAAATCCATAAAATATACCATCATCAAATGACTGTGTTATCCTCATAAACAGCTGCTAGGCCAACATAACATACTTATTGTTATTTCCTATTCCGACTCTGAGCCAGGGATGTGGGGAGCATAATCACAGTCGAAGAGGAAGGTTTTCAGGTGGGACTTGAAAAAGGGGATAGAGTGGGCAAGGCGGAGGGATTGAGGGAGAGTGTTCCAGAGTTTTGGGGAATAGTGGTTGAAAGTGCAACTTCTGATGGTGGGGCGGAGGGTGTGAGGGACGAGCAGGCAGCCAGTGCCAGTCGACCAGAGGTACTGCATAGTGTATTGGGGAGTGAGGAGTTTGGAGAGGGAGGGAAGTGCCAGAGAGTGAAGGGATTTGAACACGAGAGTGAGGATCTTGAAATCGATCTGTTTGGTGATGGGGAGCCAGTGGAGCCTGGGGCAGCGCTGGGGAGATGTGTGTACGGAGCTTGGTCGGGGTCAGTATGTGGGCAGCAGTCTGAATGAGCTGATCGTTTGAATAGTCGAGCTGGGGAGACTGGCGAGGAGAGCGTTGGAATAATCCAGGCGGGAGGTGACAAACGCATGCACGAGGGTTTTGGCTACATTTGGGGCAAGGTACTGTTGGAGGCAGGCAATGTGGCGGAGGCAGTCTTGGTCAGGGACCGTGAGAAGGAAGGATAGCTGGGGGTCGAACCAGATGTCTAGATTGCGCACTGGTTCAGTGAGTCTGAGTATTCACATCAAAGCGTTTCAAAGCGGTTGGCAAGTAAGTCCTGTTAAACTCATTGACTTACCACAAGTTCTCACCCAACGGACTAAACTTGCAGAATTCCTACAGCTAATGAGTCAAACTGACTCTATTAATGGGTTTGATATATATTTTTTCCAGTACTGTAGATGTAAATCACCCTTGCGTATCAATAATAATGATACAAATACATTGATGTTACAATACAGTATTTATATCATTAAACTAAATGAAGCCAATCTTACCAAACCAATGCCGAATGGAGATACAATTCTAGAAACTGCCACAGACTGTGATGATCCTCCATCTCCCACAATGATTGGTATCGATGGAAACCCACCACAACTGGGATTGGAAATGATATCTTGTTCGTCATTGAGCAGTTTAAGGGCTTCTTTCAAGCCTTCGGAAGCTATGTCGCAACTATCCAGGATCTTGTAACCTAGAGTTACATTAGGAAGCAACTCCAGGCTGCGGTTTATCTCTCCTATTGCAAAGATCATAGTTTGCATCCAGCGCAGTCCTCTTTGGTTGAACCTGTGCCACATGTGTAGATACAATGAAAACTATTGACTTTTTACAAAATGTCTGCCAAGCCATTTTTACCAGTTGTAAACAGTCACCATAAAATGGAGGATACAATGTTTAGTTTCTGTGATTCCCATGAGGATTCCCATGATTTGGATCAGTAATACAATACATATACACAGGGTATTGGAAAATAATTAGACTCAGTTACATAGCCATACAACAACTTTGCATTATATTGAGCAGCTCTTCTCTCACGCTAGAACAAATCTATTTTGTCCATCAATATTTCCCCAATGTTAGCATTCCTGGCCATGGCACTGACTCACTACAAAAAGACGTTTAATCTTTGTTTTCTTTAACTTTGCAGAAGTGTCTCCTCTGAGTCGTTTTAACCGCAGGAAGAGGGCCTTACCTCCTACCAAGTGGATAGTTTTAGAAATGGGAACCATTCTGTTGATGAAAGGTTAGGGGGTAAGTGGATCCCAACATTCAACCCCCAAACATCTGGTTTCAGGTGGAATCACTTTCTGGATTGTGTGGTTCTTATGATACCAAGTCACATAATACGAAAACATGTACATTTATATATTGCACATATACAAGTATAAGTTATGTGAGTAAACACTTTGTCAGTCACTAAGTAAACAAACAGAGTGACATTCATAGTATTGTTTACAAAGATTTTTATTTATTTTAGTTGTGTTGGAGAGGTCCAAGTGATTCTGATAATGTTGCAAAAGTGTGTGAGCCTTCTCGTTGTAGCTGGGAATGTGGAATAACTGGAGATTGTTGCCCGGAATTTCAATGATCTTTACAGTGAAGAGGTACCCTGTACACATCACTCACTTGATCCATTCAAAGTTGCTCTAGCGATTCAAGATCTGTAATTAGTTCGCTTTCAAATGCTGAGTAAAACAGGGAAATCTCAGAGCCAAACATTATGTAAAGAGAAATAGCCATATTTATATAAAACAGTCAGTGCAACATAAATTGGAAATGTATTTTTAAACATTTATCAAACGTGATATCTACTCTACCTGCCTTCCTCCCTCACCCAGGGTTATGTCTATGCACTCGGCACTTTCTTCACCAATACCACTCCTTTTACCATCACAAACATGATCTGGAATGATTTTAACGCTGTTTTTAAGGTGCCAAAGATACTATTATTATGTCCATTAGACCACAAAATATAGTCAATTCACTTTGAGATGTCTCGAAGACTTGACAAGGCGCTATATCAAATGCAAGGATTAGTAATATTATTGATGCTCCATCCTATACCATCTTGTTCCAAACAGTGTTACTTACTCCAGGCATGGAATCAGCTGTGGTTCAGAGTGAAATGAATTATAGTCCGGAGCTGTCCTGAGATGGATTCCAAATAAACCCCCCAGAATCAAGTCACCATCTTCAAACGCTCCAGGACTGAATTTTTCCCAAAGTTTACAGACAGGATCAGCTGTTGCAGTCATGCACCTGCTGCAGTGTAACAGCAAAGTAGCCCAAATAAACCCAAGTCTCATGGTGAAAGTGTGAACACTTTCTCAAGATCACTTTAAAGAATGTCTTTGTTTAAGGTGTTATATATGGTGATAAACGCATCTCACGAGAATAGCACAAACCATCTCACTTGCTTTTAGACCATTTATATTGCGAGGGCGAAAGTCAGGTGATAAGCCTGTGTCTGGCACCTGACACAAGAAACTCTATGTGATTGCATTGACTTCCCTCGGGCTAATTACCTCAAATAATTAATACAATGTGGAGAAGATTCTAGTTTGTTGCTTGAGTTACTTTTGATGAGATATTGGCTGAGATATCATGTGCAGAACCTTTGTGTCTCAGAGGAATTAGGTTTTATACACAACATTGACAATTATCAATTTAGAGAATGTGAGTAAAACACAGGACCCATCATTCAGCAGAGTTGCGAGTCTTCAAAAATCAAATACAAATTAAAGGTAAAAGCCTCATACTGACTTCTATTTATGTCACATATATATATTGTTCCCACAACAATTTCATTGTGTGTTGGCCAGTGTCTCTCTGTGTCTCACTGTCTTTCTGTAGCCAGAGTCTTACTGTAGGCTAATTACTCACTTGAGAACATACAAGATTACAGTGATTGTGTTATGGGAATAATATACAATGTTTCAGGACTAGAAGTGTGTTTTAATGTAATTAATCTTTAGTTGATCATTTTGTTTTGGTCAGCCGGAAGCCCATTACCATGCTTAAGAGTAACCATACCAAACTGAGAGCTCAATGAATCTTCCCTACACGTGGAAATTTCAGGGATATTTATTGGAATGGAATGTGCATGCTCTCGTTGGTGGAATATTCCTGCTTATTTAATTCTGGAGAATATTAGGCTCAGGTTGGCAAGAGCCAAGGCTTGGGGCCCCCGAGAGTGTTCGTTGGGGTAACTGCTGGAGTCTAACCATCGGCTTTGCTTGCCATTGAAAGCACATTCTGGCAAGCTTTCCCATTGCTTATCCACCTAGGACCAGCTTACCTGTTAGTGCTTTGGCTTGCAGTGTTAATGGGAAGTGACTGCCCCCACCCCACCATGACTGGTCTGCCCTTCCAAGTTGTGCCGTGAGCTAGACTGGGTTGTGTTGTCATCAATAGTGCCCTGGAGTAGTGGCTCAGGAACAGGACAACGACAACTGCAGATTCTGACATTCCATTGGCAAAGAAGTTTATCTCAAAAGTGACATGTTTGCCAATGAATGTCAGAATGACAAGCATGCATTTGAGTCCTTACAAGGTGGATGACAGGCACCAGGACCTCCCTGCAAGCCTCCTGGTGGGCAACATAGCTCATCATGGAATCCATCAGACCATTGCCACCATCTTCCTGCCCGCAGTTCAGGCACAAGTCACTTCCCATTGAGTGATGATGGTTCCACCAGTTGGAGGTGCGGAGCTTGAGCAGCAGCTGCTTACCTCTCTGCAAACCAATCAAGATGGATTCCAAGCGCTGGATGTACAAACATGTATTTACGAATTTGGACTCCAGGTAATGCCTTCCAGCAGCTGTCACCCAAGTCTCAGAGTCTCCTATCTAACAGACTCAAGTGGAGGGGACACATACATTAATATATTACTATCGCAAACATAAAACATGGAAACAAGTGGAATGACTGAGAGGTTTACAGCGGCGGGTGGGATAATGATGCATTGAGGGCAAATATTCATTTTTAATATAAAGTTTAAGCATTCATCCCTTTCTTTGCCATGTTATTGATGGTAAACCTGTCCAACGTATCTAAAGATGATTTGTGTTGAGGCAGTCCACAAGGAAGAGCAGACTGGTACCCAGCTGGCTTAATGTTTACCCATCAGGCCTTGTCTGGTGTTCCTCTCTGGCTGTAGCAATATGATGTAACATTTTGGAGCAAAGATGCAGAGAAGCAGAGCAAAGCTGGAGGACAGAATAGCGAAGACTTGCACAGCCACTGTGTACTTTCCGGGAGAGCTGAGATACACGGGAATAAATACTATCCAAACTGCAAAGAATATCAGCATGCTGAACGTTATGAACTTGGCCTCATTAAATGTATCTGGCAATTTTCTTGCCAGAAACGCCAACACGAAGCAGATACATGAAAGGAAGCCAATGTACCCCAACACAGTACAGAAAGCCACCATGGAGCCCACATGACATTGCAGAATGATCTTGGCGTTTTGGTGGGTGGTGTTCTTAAATGGAAAAGGAGGAGAAACCATTAACCAGGCCACACAGATCAGCACCTGAACACACATGGCGATGAACACAGCAGCTCGCTGTTGAGCTGGGCTGAACCATTGCATGACATTGCTGTTGGGCAGTGTGGCTCTGAACGCCATCAGCACCACCACGGTTTTGGCGAGGACACAGCAAATACAGAGCTCAAAGATGACAGCAAACGCAGTGTAGCGCAGCTTGCAACCCCAGTCTGTGGGTTGGCCAATGAATGCGATTGAGCACAGAAAACATAGCACCAATGAAGTCAAGAGAAGGAAGCTTAACTCCGAGTTGTTGGCCTTGACAACCGGTGTGGTTTTGTAATGAAAGAAGATCACTGACACTGTGACTGTTAAACAGGCTCCGAACAATGCGATAGCCACTAAGGCAATACCTGTGGCCTCTTGGAAAGAAAGGTATTCAACTTCCTTTGGGATGCATGCGTTTCTCTCGGGATTTGACCTGTCGTCAGTCGAGCATTTGGTACACTCCACGGAATCTGGGAAACAGATTATCGAGCTGGTCAGAAGGTAACAGTGTGAAGTGAAAACCTTGTACGGAGGCTCCTGGGAAACGACTCTGTAAATCCTCAAAATGCCGCTCTTTAATGTTTGCCATGTAACGTGACTCTGGAAAAACTGAGGAATGCAATTTTAAAATATCCAATTGGAAAGCCACATATTGGGGTGGAAAATGCGGTACTCGCAAACTGGAAATCGCTAATGGAATCATACAGTTTAGTGGTTAGAGCACTCACCTCGCGAGCGAGAGCAAGAGGACCTTGGTTTGATTCCCGGGTGGGCAAAACCTTAGGCAAGTTTCCTTACTCCATAGTCTCTATTTACCTAACAGTAAGTAGGAACCCAGTTGTTAGTTGATTGGCGGATCGCTTTTCCGGGGGTAATAATCTCTTCATAATAATAATAATTTGGTTATTCAATCCACAACTATTTGTGGGACACTGCTGTGCTCAATTGGCTGTTGTGTTTCCCGTAAATATACGGTAAATTCACTTTACTATGAAGCGCTTTGAGATGTTTTAATGTAATAAGGCACTACATCAAATGCAAGGATTATTATTATAATTTCCAACGCCCTGTGTCCCCGTTAGCAAGTGTTACCTGTTTGATTGCTGATCTCCCCCTCAGCACATGGCACACAGTCAAAGCAACAGAGAGGTTCACCATCACGAGAAGCTTTCCTCATTCCAGAAGGGCAGCTTTCACTGCACACTGACCGTGGAGGCTGGGACCAAGAACATGAATTAGACACATATCTGAACATAGAAAATACATAATGGGTGTGGAAAGAGCTGACACAGTCTCTATGGGTCAATGGACTTTTTCCATCCTATAAACTTTAGGACAAGGAATGAACACACAAATCAACAGCGTTCTTTCTCCACTGTGGCAATGTGGCAGGCTATCTCATACTGGTATCATGCCATGTCTTACATGGACAATTCAATCTCTGAAGAACAAATTAGATAGATTTCTGTTAGGAAATAATATCTTGGGATACAGTATATAGTTTGGTGTAAGCGACTGCCAGGGTGGCGGAAGGCAAACTGGATGGACCTTGTTCTACTTTCGTCTAGCATATTCTTATTATTGGAGATGCCAATTATCCACCTTTTATATTGTTCAGCTAAGGTGACTGATAGATGCCTTAATGATATTGTTGACTTTGAAATGGTGAAGCACGCTGTAATATGTTGATGCACGTCCTGTTTTTGAAAGTTTGGTGAGATTGGCTTTAGTTGAACATAACTTCCTAAATGATTGACAACATGTTTTTCACTATTTTCCACATAAACCCCCACACAAGGCCAGTCTGGCCCTTGTATTAGTTATAAATATCAATCTAGCTTGTGGTCACACCTGAGTTTTCCTCCTGCCCAAACGATCACTTCTTCATCTAAAACCAGCTCCTCCCCAGGAGGCGCCGAGGCTTCAAAATGACCAACTTCCACAAACGTCACATCCCCGCCAGCTCCAATCTGACAGTTAATAATGTCATAAACTGCGATTGCATCCCCGTTTTCATCAAAAGCCACTTCTCCTCCAAAATGGTCAGTGAATTTCACTCCTTTCAGATAGTGCAGGAGCTTGGTAAATAGGGAAAAACAATGGTTTGGTTTATTTGTGCAGTTCCAATCTTGTGATGCTGTTTCGCAAATCCTTAACTGTCCAACATCTTGGGATGTCCTCCCAACATGAAAGACAATGTGTAAATGTAATTTGCTGTTGTTTTCTACCCTACTACAATAGTTAGTAGGGTAGTCCTGAGTCCTGTAGCTCAGTGGTTAGAGCACTCGCTTTGCAAGTGAGAGACCTGAGTTCAATTCCAGGCAGAGGGCGAAACCTCGGGCAAGTTTCCACACACCTAATAATAATCCCTCCAAAACCAAAAACAATAATAAATTGGTCATTTTCAATCGACAACTGTTTGTGGGACATTGCTGTGCGCAATTGGCTGCCGCGTTCGCCCACAAACATACAGTCAATTCACTTTACAGTGTGTTCTGTGAAGCGCTTTGAGACATCCTCCCGACGTGAAAAGCGCTATATCAAATGCAAGGATTATTATTATTATTATATTATTATTATCTGTGTCTGTGCTCCCCAGGTCTCTGGCCACCCAGCCCACACGTGGTTTACGACTTTGGGAGGCTACCCTGTGTGAGGAATGCTATATTATTGCAAGTTGTTGTTGCTGATGTTGTTGCTACTGTCAGCTTGCAATCTAACTCATAAAACAGTGCACTTCAAGAGCATTTCAAGTGTGAGAGAATTTCAGGCCAACGTTACACAATTCTCTTACCTGCCATGGTTCAAAGCTGTGTACATCTGCACACTCATTGCTCCCAAAAGGCCCTCTGCCACTTTGACACAACTGTAGCTGCCGCAGTGCATGAGCAATGGCATAAACTGCTTTGTATACGTTGTAGGAAACCCTCAGTTGCGACGTATCAAAATAAATGGTTTCAATTTCTTCCAGGTCTTCTGAGCCCGTGCACAAGTGGGGCTGGCGTTGGGAGCTGACATCAACCGACATGTTAAACTTACAGCTGTTCAACTCTTCCCAGAAGACAGTCAGGAAGTTGTCTCTGTCCTGCGGGGAAGGGCGCGCCCGCAAGAGGAACTCTCTGAGCTGGGGGATCTCTGCTCTGCGGAAAGAGAAGCCAATGGTTCCTGCTAGATATGGGGCTAAGTGTGAGTTGAAGAGGGCAGCCCCAGTGACCCAGGCTTCACTAGCCAACCACTGGATCCCAGTCACCTTCAAAAAAAGACAAAAAAATAATAATTTTATCACTCAATCCACGACTTTTTGTGGGACGCTGCTGTGCACAATTGGCTGCTGCTTTTCACCCACAAAATACACAGTCAATTCACTTCACGGTATATTCTGTGAAGCGCTTTGAGACGTCTCGAAGACACGATAAGACGCTGTATCAAATGCAACGATTATTATTGTTATTATTACCTGCTGTCTCACCACCTCCTGTACCAGCTCCAGCATTTTCTTCTCAGATGCAAACACCACAATGACCCTAACCCCTGACTCTTTGATGACCTTCACGATGCCAGCGAGGATCTCCGCACTGTAGATTTTGGGTAGGATGTGTGAAAAGGCCATGCATGCCCCCAACTCCATCACCTTCTGGCTGAACAGTTGGACCCCAGATCTGCCATAGTCATCGTTGTTGCCCAGAGCCCTGATCCAGGTCCAGCCAAAGTGTCTGACCAGCTGCGCTAATGCTTGCGTCTGGAATGAGTCGCTTGGCACCATGCGTAAAAAGTTGGGATAATTCTTCTTGTTGCTCAAACAGGTACAAGTGGAAAAGTAACTGAGCTGCAAGATATTAAAGATGGGAGGGAAAGGTGTCAGAAGCCAACAGCCAAGTGCTGAGCTGTCACCTCACTACTGCCCCCTGTGGTGGAAATACACTGGCCAATGGGACATGGTGGAGAGACACTAGCCAATGGGATGGAGCACAGTGTGGCTGGAGATGGGCCAAGGGTATCTGTAATTCGTACTCTGTGGAAGACACTCAATCCCGCCCCCCAAAAAAAGTAATTCAATGAGATTGAGGCAGAAGAAAGGCTTCAAGATCTGCTCTGGGTTCCTGGTTTTTTGAAGCGCTTTGGGGCATCCTAAAGACATGATATGGAGCTATATCAAATGCAGGGAACCACCACAGGAATAGTCCTCTCATAAGCGAGTGAAGAGAGGATAACAGAGCTCCAAGCAAAGGAATCCCAGACTGAATGTGGAGGGAGAGCTCTGCAATGTGTTTGGAAATGTTCCCCAATTCCCTGACACCAGCCCCTCCCACACAGGTATAAATCGTTCCACATAAAACATCCGCAGGTATAAACTCTACAATAGCAAATGTGGCCCTGCAATGCCCATTCAAATTGACATAACACAAACCAAAAATAACAAGATTAGTTTTATAGCTAAAAATATCTATAACTAGAGATCAGTGTTTGGATGGCAGACTATCACAGCCGCAGAGACCCCACACTATTGGAGCAACCTGTAGCAACCTGTGGAGTCCTGTAGCTTAGTGGTTAGAGCACTCGCCTCACAAGTGAGAGATCTGGGTTCAATTCTGTGTGCAATTGGCTGCTGTGTTTCGCCCACAAAATATACAGTCAATTTACTTTACAGTATCTTCTGTGAAGCCGTGCTGTGTCAAAAGCAAGGATTATTATTATTATTAACCTGTCGACTTGATGTTAGAGAGAATGTCGGTACTTACTATTGGGATCTGGAAAGGTGCGGTGGTGCTGGCCATGATAGTGGACTGAAGAGAACCAGCTTCACCGATCATTGCCGGGACCGAAGCCCCATCACAGCTGCTGTAGGACACAGTCTGCTCACCATCGCTGACAAATGCCATCACTGCTCTCAGCGCGTATATATCACAGGTATCATACACTTTATAGCCCAGGGTGAGATTAGGTAAAAGTGCCGCCTCCCTGTTTATTTCCTCAATGGTAAATATCATTGTTTGGATCCAACGAAACGCCCTGAGATCAAACCTGCCCAACAAACACGTTAATTCAATGTGTATGCTATTGTTACTGAGATTCATCTAAACACAGTCAGTGTCGATTACACAGAAATTATCCACATACACAACAAATACAACATCCTTAACAATGCCCCATACAATTCGTATTATTTCAATGTAAATTTCTCACTTTGTTTCGCCCACTAAATACACAGTCAATTCACTTTACAATATATTCTGTGAAGCGCTTTGAGATATCTCAATGACATGACATGGCGCTATACCAATGCAAGGATTATTTGTTTCTATTTCTCTATAACTTTGTGTTTATGCGTGTGACAAGATCGCAAAAGAGATGTGGTGAAGAAACCCATTCGGCTCATTAGAATTTATCCTTTTAGACCATCCTACAGTCTGCTCAACATCAGTCTGTTTCTTACATAGGTCCCCTATCCCCAAGCAGCGAGGACCACCTGACTGGCAACCCACTCCCTTCTCTTACTGCTGCTGTCCATCTTAAATGTGATCTTCACATATTCTTTCACTAACCATATGTGTTCCTCTCACGTTCTTTATTTCTATCCCCTGAATTTCCAAACAAAAGTCCAATGTTAAATATTAATAATAATGTTATATGCATGATGTCAAGAAATAATATTCAAATTCTTCTGAAGAGAGAATTCATGTAAATTGATACAAGACACCTATTTTATTGAATAGGTATGAAATGATAATTATCATACAGCACCTCCTATACATGCTGATGACAGGAAAACTATGTATTTTCAGCTTTGAGTGAAGATCAACACCTCAATAACAACAACAACAACAACAACAACAACAAGGTTGCATTTATAGAGCGCCTTTCATGTTGTGAGGACGTCCCAAGGCGCTGGACAGTTGGGTCGGGACCTGAGCAGGGGGGAAATAGTGAGGGTGAGGGTAGGGAAGGGAGGGAACGAGGAGGGGGGAAATGGTCAGGGTGAGGGGAGGGAAGGGAGGGAGCGAGGAGGGGGTAGCGAGTCGAGAGGGGAGCTGAAGGTATGGTCAAAGAGAAAGGTCTTGAGACCGGCCTTGAAGGAGGAAAGGGAGGAAGCGAAGGTGAAGGCACTGGGGGATGGAGTTCCAGAGCCTCGGGGCTGAGAGGCTGAAGGCCCGGCCACCGATGGTAGGGCGGTTGGGGCGGGGGATGTGGAGCAGACCGGAGCCAGAGGAACGGAGGGTACGGGCAGGTAAGTAGGGGGATAGTAGGTCCGAGAGGTAGGAGGGAGCGAGGCCGTGAATGGCCTTGTAGGTGAGGATGAGGATCTTGAATTCGAAAAGAATAAGAATAAGCTAGGATCCTCTGAAAGTTCATCAAATTCCTTTTGCTTCTCAATTGCATGTTTATTTTATAATAATAATCTTTCCATTTAATACAACATCTTATCACATCATCAAAATATCTTGAAGCATCTTTACAGCATTTACTGTAAATGTACAAAACTGTACATTGCTAATTCATTACATTATCACAAGTGGCATTAAACAGAACGCAAGCTGAGAATTTCTCAATGTCTTTGAGAGGTTTAAATACACACTCACCCTGTGCAGCGTAGCTGATCAGGTTTAGTTTTGTAGGAAAGGTCTGGTTTGTTAACATGTAGACTGACTGGGAACATTCCTCCAATAACCACATCTCCACCCTTTGCCAATCCGGGTGAGACAAAGTCCTCTCGCACCTTACACGTAGCCGTTGCCTTGGCCACAGACAGCAGTGCGCTGTTGACAATCACGATCAATAAACAGCAACACATTGCACTAATTGAGAAAGAAAGCAATCATTTTTCAAAATGATTAGAAAGCTTTTATATACCTCTGGTATGTCTGGGGTTTCTATGAGTGGAAGAGTAGAACATAATGGTGGGGCGATTTCAAACTGTTTAGATCATCCCAAAGGACATGCCAGAGCTCTTGAGACCAAAAAGACATTTTGTTTTCCTTCTCATTGTTCCCTTCACATGCAGACTGGATTATAGAGTCTTAAATGTGGAGTACTATAGCTCAGTGGTTAGAGCACTTGCCTTGCAAGCAAGAGACCTGGGTTTGATTCCCAGCAGGGCAAAATGGTGGCCAAGTTTGCTTACTCCACACACCTCTGTTTACCTTGTACTGAGTAGGAACACGGTTGTTAGTTGATTGGCGGAGCCCTTTTCTGGGGGTAATAATTCCTTCGAAGAAAATAATAATAAATTGTTCACTTCAATCCAAGACTGCTGATGTGCGCAATTGACTGCCACGTTTCGCCTACAAAATATACAGTCAATTCATTTTACAGAATATTTTGTGAAGTGCTTTGAGATGTCTCGAAGACATGATAAGGTGCAAGGATTGTTATTGTTATTATTATTATCATTATTATCATTAAATCTATCTGAGCAATTCCATTAAAATATTGTGTCTGGTCAGCAGATGAAGTTCTGTGGGATTTTATCCAAACAGCACAAGTAGGAATGATCACACATGAGCTGTTTCACATATGAATGAAACAACTTTTGTGTAACTGGTATTACACCACAACAACACTGAGCTGGACTCAGGGATGTGTCTGATCTTTCAAGATAATAACTTGCATGTATGTATTACATAGGACAGAGGAATATGTCAAAGCACTTGATAAATGTAACAATGATTTTAATATTTTGACCGAAAGGAACAGTCCAAGGAATATGCTTATATGATGGTTTCAAAGGCAGTAAGAGAGGTAACAAGGAGAAGTTATTTTGAATAATAATATTAATATTATTATTATTTGGAATATGACAGCTCAGTTTTGTATATCAATATCTTGGTATATCAAATTATTTGTGACAGACATGTTGTGAAATTTATAGTTTGGGAATGAGTTACTGGCAATGCGATCTAAAACAGCAATACATTGCCGTAAAGAGCGCATTCTGTTGGTTCTGAACAGAAGTGTAAAGTAATCCAATCTGAACTGTTTGTACAATGCTCCTCTTCTGAGTTCCAACTCTAGTGATCTCAGTCCCCCAAATGGAAATTATACCCAGAATTTGAATATTCAAGACAGATAGATATTTGGAAAGTTTATTAAGGAGTACAGTACAGAGAAAAGGCAAGGAAATGGGATTAAAAAATAGACTAATGGAACTTTCTGAATGGTAGACTCAGATGCTAGTCCCATGTTCCTAACAGAGATGGTCAGAGCTGTGGGAGTAGGAATAAACCGCTCTTCCACAGCAATTCAGTTATAATATCTAGTTAAGATTAAGATTAACTATGCTCTAAGATGCTATCCTGCGTGGAGGGCGCTATATAAGTTATTGTTGTTAACTATATTAACCCATTCTGAATACGAGATTATTATTGTCATGACAAATGTTTCATAATTCTATTCCTTTGGCATGAAATGTCTTTTTCTTGCAGTTTTCCAGAACTCAAAGAGGTGAGGTTTGTTTTTCTCAAATTCCCATTGAGCACATTCCTCTTCTGAAAGAAAAAACATGCAGAAGATACCATTACAGGACCAATTGGCATTGAATCAATGCCTTGAGCGGGTTGTCAGAATGGGTAGTTGAGGAGAGAAACTTGCAACTTACTTAAGAGACAGCTCAAAATGCTGTTGGGTGAGGATTCAGGAAAGTTGAGATCAAAAGGCCAAAGGGTCTTTTATCATCACTTTGTGACCTAATCAGATCCTTCCAATACTGTAGTGGCCTCATTTTATGCTTTGGGCAACTGATGGGAAACTGTCGTGCTCATAAAGGAATAAGAAAAAATTAAACTTGCCCCTCTGCAAGATCATTCAATAGTTTCATCAAATATTATAAGACAGGAACCAATAATCACATTGTGCACATTTTCCATTCAGCTGTGTGCCTGTTGCCGCCCATTGCCTGGACCTCACCCCCACCTCAGGCTTATTGAATCATTGGAAAGAATTGGACAGCAATGAGGCGAGAATTCTCGGTTGGATTCTGACATTTGTGAATCATAATTCTCTGCCAAGACACAGACTGTTTCCAAGGCCTCACAATCCAATAACATGGAGGCTAATTTGAGAGGAACAAATCCTTGTGGCTCTAAAATAATAATTGGAAACTGTGGCAGCTGAGGCCTGAAGAGTTGGGGACAGTCCAGTTGTTTTTTTACATAATGTTGCAGATAGACTCAGGTGCTCGTCACAGGGATGAACTGACTCAGGAACCTTGGAGAAAATTAATGCTCTCTGATACAGTAAATAATGAGCCCAATTAACCAAGAGCATCTTGAGAAAACAGTGAATTAATCAACCAGTTCAGGAGGTGGATACCTCAGAATTCCACAAGGTAATTTGTGCTGGGAATTAGAAAAATTAATGATCTCCTCAAAATACACTTCAACTTAATTGTTTCTCACTAAACCTATTAGTCCTGAGGAGGTGATTGGAATAAGTTTGTAATACTGCTTTAAATTTTTGCAGTAACTGTGAAAACTATACTTAACAGAAATAAAAATAGTGCTGAGTGGTGAAAGTTCATTTTCAATATCATAGTTTCCATCAAAACTTCTAATGGTTTGATCTTCACTTCACGATCCTTTGATGGCATGAGATCCCCCCCTCCCCTCTCTGTTGGATTCAAGAAAGTTTCTAACTGAAATCAGGTTCACTTCCTAGTAAAACAGATCAAAAATGTTGAACACTACAAGTAACTTAGAATTGCACTCTGGGATCCTACGCTATGTGAGGAGCGCTATATATAAATGCAAGTTGTTGTTGCTGCTAATCTCTGCTCCGTTCCCTCACTCCTAACTATTATAGAGTCAGGAGCCAGAGATGGAAGAACCACCTGTAAACTGCAGCTGTTGGGTCAGTGTCTGAATAGCTGCTCTTACCAGGGAAAATTGTTTTTTTTTAACATGATTCAAAAATAAAGAGAGGGGAACAAGTCTGGGAATTAGTTGTTGGAAATGAATCATCTGTTGTCTGTCTTATGCCAAATTTTCGATTGTTCATACACTATTTTATAGACTGAATACCTCTCACACAGTGGCCTACAGAATCCGTACCTGAAGCCCAAATTCCACCCAATCTCAGCTCAACAAACCATTTTGTCTCAAATTTTAAGAAGGCAAATAATTATGAAAAATTCTTCCGTTTACGCTTAATTTGGATGCCATTTTTTGCCGTTTTTGATAAAGAACCAGACTTGAAGGTATTTCTGGCAGGGAGTGGGATTGAATGAACAACTTGCTGGGAGGGAAAGTTTGCCCAGGCCACCAGCAATGCTTCTCTCAGCCACCACACGAGGCAGCCTGAACAGCATGACAGTGAGAAGGCTGACCTCAAATCACTGATAACCCGCCTGGGGTTACAGCCTGAGCCAATACAAATGTGCAGCTGTACTTTTTCCGTGCAATCCACTGCAAACACCCTTTTCTGCTACAAACCTGCTGAGCAATGAAGTTTCTGGCCTTACACTGTTTACCTAACGTCACTTCACCCGGAAGCCCTGCTCTTAGAATAATAGAATTATACAGCACAGAAGGAGGCCATTCGGCCCTTCGTGCCCGTGACAGTTTTTGAAAGATCTATCCACATTAATCACACTCCCCCGCTCTCTCCCCTATAGTCTTGCAAATCTGTTCTCGCCAAATATCTATCCACTTCTCTCTGGAAAGTTGTTATCAAACAACTCGCTGTGTGAGAACATCTCTCTTCACCTTCCCTCTGTTTCTTTTGACAACTATCTTAAATCTGTGTCCTCTGGTATGGGCCCACCCGGCAGTGGAAACAGTTTCTCTCCGTTCACTCTATCAAATCACCTCATAATTTTGAATACCTCTATTAAATCTCCCCTTAACTTTCTCTGCTCCAAGGAGAGCAATCCTTCTCAAGTCTCTCCACATAACTCAAGTCCCTAATTCCTGGTACCATCCTGGTAAATCTCCTTTGCACATTCTCCAAAGCCTTGACATCATTCCCAAAGTGTGGTGCCCAGAATTGAACACAGTCTCTAGTTGAGGCCTAACCAGTGTTTTATAAAGATTCATCATAACCTCCTTACTTTTGTATTCTATATCCCTATTTATAAAGCCAAGGATCCTGTATGTCATTTTAACAGTTTATCTACCTGTCCTACCACTTCCATAGAATCATAGAATTATACAGCACAGAAGGAGGTCATTCGGCCCATCATGTCTGTGCCGGCTCTTTTAAAAGAGCTTCCAAATCAATTCCACTCCCCCGCTCTCTCCCCACAGCCCTGCAAACTTGTCCTCCCCAAATAATTATCTTCTTCTCTCTTAAAAGTTGTTATTGAATTGGCTTCCACCAGCCTTTCAGGCAACGCATTCCAAATCTGAACAAATTGCTATATAAAAACCTTTCTCCTCACCTTCCCTCTGCTTATTTTAACCATTTTAATTCCTTTGTCCACCCACCAGTAGAAATAGTTTCTCCTTCTTCACCCTATCAAATTCCCCTCATAGTTTTGAAAACTTCTATTAAGTCTCTCTTAATCTTCTCTACTCCAAGGAGAATAATCCTGGTTTCTCTACCCTCTCCTGATAACTGAAGGCCCTCATTCCTGGTACCATCCTGGTCAATCTCCTTTGCACCCTCTTCAATGCCTTGACATCCTTCCTAAAGCGTGGTGCCCAGAACTGAACACACTCTCCAGCTGAGGCCTAACCAGTGTTTTATAAAGGTTCGTGAGCAGAGAGCCCAAGAGCGTGAGGAGGGAACTGAGTGAGGTGGAACAGAGAGAGAATTCCGTTAAGGATTTTGGTGAGAGTGAGACTTCTTCAGCAAGAGAGAT